AGAGAGAGAGAGAGAGAGAGAGAGAGAGAGAGAGAGAGAGAGAGAGAAAGAGATAGATAGATATAGATGTATAAATATAGATATATGGATATAAATAGATATTGTTCTTTCTTACAAGTGAAAACTAAGCATATGGTGCTCGCACAATGCATATGGTAAGTAGGGATACTATGTCTTTGTCAGCTCTGATGGTGAAATGTCTTATCTTCTGCAGTTTTGGGGAGTAATAGTATACTGTTAGTGTCCTTGGTGACCCTGTCTGTTGCAGTCCTTTTTGCCTCATCCTAGCAATTCACTTCCTCCACCCCCACACTCATCCTAACCCCTCCCCTTCGCTCTCTTAGCTGAGACTGGCTGGCATGCAACATAATCAATTCTTTCAGTCAGCATGCAAGCAAAAAAAAAAGCTTGCGTCACAGTCATTACTGGCTCTATATAAGCCAGAGTATTGCAGATTCACTGTGCAGTCAACCCAGCTGAATTCCCTGTCACAGAGCTGCCCATCTTTCAAGCCATGACTTCGACAAGCTTTGACCCATACCTCCCTCCAACCTACAAGAGGAAGGTAGCTGTGCGTAGTGCAGGATATGGAATTGGAGGAGGAATAGGATCTAGATCTGCCTTCTCCACCCGCTCTGCCCCAGTAACTTCCTATGCATCTTCCCGAAGAAGTTATCCAACTTACACTAGAGCTACTTCAAGCTTCTCCACCCTACTTCCTGGTCTAGGTTCTGCGGCTGCCACCGAACTACGACTTGACCAAGCGGTCCAAGTCAGCTCTGAGTTCAAAGCTTTGAGGACCCAAGAGAAGGCTGAACTTCAAGACCTGAACGACCGCTTTGCAAGCTTCATTGACAGGGTCCATGAATTGGAGCAGCAGAACCGGTTGCTGGAGGGTGAGCTTCTGTTGCTCAGGCAGAGACAGGCGGAGCCATCCAATCTGCGGAACCTCTATGACCATGAGATCCGCCAGCTCCGTGCTGCCGTTGAAGAGGCCCGCCATGAGAAGCAAGAGGCCCAGGACCACAGGGACGAGATGGAGAATGTGTTGAAGAATCTGCAAAAACGCTACGATGATGAATTTCAGGGTAGGGAGGAGGCCGAGAGTCGGCTTTTGGATGCCAGGAAGGGAGCAGATGAAGCTGCTCTGGGCCGGGCTGAGCTTGAGAAGAAGGTTGGGACCCTGCTAGATGAGTTGTCCTTCCTGAAGCGACTCTGTGAGAGCGAGATTGCAGAGCTGCAGGCCCAAATACAGTACAGTGCAGATGTGTCAGTGGAGATGGAAGTCTCCAAGCCAGACTTATCTGTTGCCCTTCGCGACATTCGAGGCCAGTATGAGAAGCTGGCACAACGCAACCGTCAATCGGCTGAAGAATGGTTCTGCAACAAGATGAGCGTGATGACCGCAGGCTCAGCAGCTCGCAACACTGAGAGTGCCCGCAACGTCAAAGATGAAGCTGGAGAGTACCGTCGACTGCTCAAAGCCAGAACGCTGGAGATCGATGCCTGCCGTGACATGAACCAGGCTCTGGAAAACCAACTACAGGAAGTTGAAGAAAAACAAAGTGCTGAGATATCCGCCTTGCAGGTATACCATTTTAAGGTTCTGATTAAAATGTCACCTTGGTCAGTTTTTCCTGTCAACATGACTGTCAGTGTGGCATGTTTTGACACGATTTTGCACAATATCTTTAATGTTCCATTGTGATGCTTCTCTTCATACAGGATGCAATAAATGAGCTGGAGGAAGAGTTGAGGACAAACAAGAATGACATGGCTCGCTACTTGAAAGATTATCAAGACCTCTTGAATGTGAAGATGGCATTGGATATTGAAATTGCAGCATATAGGTATGTGATCCATCCACAGTCATTCCGGTGTTTTCCAGAGTGTGTTACATTCTCATATCCTGTAATGTGTGTCTTATCCCATTAGGCAGCTTCTTGAAGGAGAGGAAAATCGCCTAAATGTGGCAGGATCAGGACCACTCTCTGTGTACCCCCAAGTCATGTATTCTGCCCCATCCTACGGAAGAACTCAAGTCTCCATGCAATCTCAGTTCACTTCCACAGCCCCATTTCTCCTGAGCTCCCGCTTTTATACCTCACCGCTCTCCACAGAGGAGGCAATATCTGCAAGCCAAGCACACCAGGCAGAAGCCAGCCCTCCTGAAGAGCAGGAGGAAGAAGAGGCGGAGGAGGAGGTAGAGGAGGAGCAGAAGGACGAAGGGGTAGAAGAGGACGAGGAGGTGGTGGGAGAGAAGGAGGAAGAACAAGAAGAGGGAGATGAGGAAGCAATTGGAGAAGGTCAGCACAGTCATTTTCCTAGTTGTTATGCCAATGTGTGTCACCATAAAAATGTTTCTAACATTACACTTCCTCATAAAATGAATGAAGAGTGTGAAGAAGAAGATGGAGACAAAGATGATGAGGAACAAGGAGCAGAGGAGAGCCAGCCTCCAGAGGAGGGGGAAGCTGAACAGAAAGAAGAAGATGGCGATGAGGAGGGCGGAAAAGGGGTAGACGAAGAAACCGAAAAGGAGGAAGAGGAGGATAAAGAAGAGAAAAGTTGTAAAACAACAGACAAAAAAGTTTAGATTTGCTTAATTGGTGCTTGACACGCAAGATGTTTTATCAAATGAGATGAAAATCTCTTGAACCCAGAAATGTTAATCTTAATGAGGCACTTGTGCCTCATCTTGCTCTTAGCATGAATGCACGAACTGTAACAGCAAAGGAGTTGGGCAAGTGGTGAAGACAGATGGTGTCAGGAGATGAGATTATCAGCTTTGTGCAAGTTTATTTTCAGGTAGTTCTCTGACACCAAAATGTGCTCGTACAACTGTCTATGTGCAATACCCAGTTTAAAATGCCTTAGCTCAAGTCCCCACTGAGTGCTCAAAGTCCATCATGTCCTGCATTGAAATCTAATAAAGCCTTGAAGCCTTGTCAACCTCAAGCTAGCTGTTTATTTGTATTTACATAAACAAACTGCTGCAGAGGAGTCAAATCAAATTATCTTTGAACACACAAACACAAAGCAAAACTAGAAAATCACATCTAAAGTTCAAGCTCAGACTCATAAACAAGATTTTTACATGCCTATCGGCCCTCAGCTCCTTCATTCATCTTGCTCCTTAATAGAGGTTAATGGAAAAGTAAGTAAAAGGCTGGTAAAAGATCTTTAATCTGATCCAGACAGTACACAGACAGTACCATAAAACTCAAGATTTCTGACGTTTGCATAACTAAGCTAATGCAGCCGCTGAGTTACAGTAGCACTTTTATCTTTCATTGAACTCAGCAGATTGTCTCCTGATGAGCTTCTTTGTGATCAGTGAGCTGACACCAGTGCTTTCCCCACTGCGTCTCCCCCATCTACATCCCTGTCCATAAATCAGGGCTCACTGAGACCTTTATGACTCAGCTCCTGCTGCACCACAGAAACCGGCCAAGTGTCGATTCAGGCAAAGGGAGGAAAAAGAGAGAGCAATTTCTCTATTTCATTAGAGAGAGATGGGTTGAGGAGGAATTGAGAGGAGAGGCAGAGACATATTTCACAGCTTTAAACCTTGACAGAGGACAGTCTGTTTATTATTCACTAACGAGGTGGAAGAATCCAGGACTTCCTGCAGGCATTCGCAGGGATACAATCCTTGTCGCTTAAGTGAACCCAAGACACACACTTACACCCCAACCATCGCTCTTCCCTTCTCACTGATTTAGAGGAAGACACATAAGTGCACATGAATGGAGAAGCCCCACCAATGTGCTGCATCTAATAAAAATACAAGCACAATGTTGCACTTTTAACATTTAGTAGATGCACCACTTCATATTGCGCTTGTTAATGCACCACCCTTAAGACAAGAGCTCTCTTCTCTTCTCCTACCTGTCCTTGGTGTCCCCTCCCCTCAGTCGAAGCACTCTCATCCACCTCCAGTCACTCTCTCTTCCTTTAGGAAATCTAAAGTCAGTCCAGGGCAGCACTTAATTTAATTGTAAGCCATTATACTTTACAATGAATCTGGCGCTGTTATGCCCACACTTTTAATCACTGAGAAAGACAGCAACACTGCAAATTCTTTCTCATGGGGTTAAAAAAGAAAATAATTAATAGCAGTGACAGTGAAGAAGTCCTTCACAAGACGTGTTGTAAACCTCTCATGCGACTGCCTGTACTTGGCTGTGTGTATGTGTGAGTGTGTGTGTGTGTGTCGGGGGGGATTTCAGGGCGCAGTAGAACACAGATCCCCAGCAAATGTAGTACAACGATACATTGCTGTATTATTTTTATCACATTTTATCTTGCAGATATTGACTCTCCGCCCGTGTTTCATCTGTCACCTTTGGGCTGTGAACTGACTGCTACATAAATCCTACGTACTCTCCACCTCCTTGGGGTATACATTAAGTCTGAGGGAGGTGGGTCCATATGTAGGCCCCAAAGATATCTCCCAGACTTGTAATCCTTACATGGAAAACAAAGAACTGAGCGCGTTGCAGGAGATATCAACCGCAGCCGAGGTTCCTGTAAAACAAGAAAGGAAAAAGTGTGCTGCTGTCGCCCCGAAAATAGAACCAGCTGTGGTTTCTGTTAAAGTTTCTGGGGTTATATTCGACATTTTGTCTGATTATATTTTGAGAGAAACATTCAATGGCATTTCAGAGATTAGGAGTAATTTATATAACGACTTATAACATCACATCCTTCAACAGGTTAGCTTTGCTGCGCACTCAACAAAAGACCATAAGCTTTTGTTTAATGCTGAACAAAGTATTACTCTGATCCAGGCTGTGGGAAGTCTACAAAGCAGACCACCAGCACTGTTGAGTTCAAATAATACATCCAGATTTTGGGGCATACAAATGAAAGACCCATCTGTAGTGACACATCTAATGAATACTGGTGGCAGGGAGCAAAAATCTGAATTGTTGCCCCAATGTCTTTGATTGATGAAATCTTCGCCTTGAAAGAATCCCTTCTTATCCAGATAATGGCTTTTATATTCTTTGATGTGTGTGGCCCCCTCGAGCTCTCGTTCAGACTGTAACTGTGTTCCTGTTGCAGTACGCCTTTTTGGATAAGACCAAACTACAGCTGTGCTTTGTTCACGTGAAGAAAGGGAAATCTAGATAAGAGTTGGGGCTCCCTCTGCTGATCTGAGACAATCGTCTAATTAAAAGTCTCTGCAAAAAGAGTTTTTATTTTCAAGTCCTGACGGACAGCACACAATAATGATTTCACAGGAAGCTATTGGACTTAAATTCTAACTCCATGTTTATTCTAGTGTCCATAAAGGTTAGAGCTGTAGTCATACAAAGGTAACCTTCATGTATCCATCAAACAGCAAAGTGGTACAAGTGATTTCTCACTGAGGGATATGGCCCCCAGGGAGAAATTCTTTGACTTTAAATGCAAAGTAGGAATCTGATGTGAATAGAACAGAACAGGAAATAGAATTAACAGCACCATGCAAAAGTCTTGAGCCAAGTTTCATTGATCTATATTTCCCCCCCAAAGAACTAGACCTCCTTGTAATGATCTGTGAACTTGAACAATAGCTCTGAAGGTTTTCCCATTTTTCATTCAAGCAAAGAAAAAAAAGAACTATAGGGTGAAAAGGTACCAAATTATGTGGCTGACCCAGTGTTGTGTCTTTACAGGACATTTAACTCAGCAAAGAACCAACTTTAAATTATACCTCTAGGTACTTGGTTAATAGCATCCTGGCACAGAGGCATATCATAGGCATATCATAAACATAATTTATCTTATTGCATTTGCAAAAAATGCGAATAAAACACTTTGACTAAATTATTTTTTTCAATTCCTAGAAAGCATGTGATGTCCTCAACAAATAAGGGAAAAGTACACACAAGACCTGAGAGATTTAGTCTACCTGTTGTTCTATCTACAGGGCTGATGTCCCCCAGGTTTTTTAATTCTTCACAAGTCTGCCATTGGCGCAATGATTTGAATCAGGTGTGTTAAAACAGCAAAGCATTTAAAACCTGCATGACATGCAAGATCTGGGGATCTCTGATCTACAATTCGCTGAAGCTTCATCAGAAATGCTCTCCATGGAAGGGCGGCTGTCAAAAAGACATTCTTAAGAAAGGGAAACAGAGAGAAAATAATGAGCTATGCAAAATGACACGTGGACTGAAAATCAGTGGTAGTGATGGAGGGATGAATCCTCCCCAGAATCTAGACTGGTACACTACTGAAGCAGTGTGGGATCACTGTGATAGAGGGTGGAACAAGAGGTAACCAAGATCCAAAGAAAAGCGTTGGACGTCTGTCAAGGAGGCTGGAGAAATGATGGCAAATCCTGTTAAAGATGATTCATCAATTTTTTGATTTTAGTTTTTTATTTGGCAAAGCATAAAGAAAAAATGAAGACTCCCTCAAATTTGCATGTTCTTTGAAAACCTACTGCAGATTAGTTCCTGCTGCCTGTCGTTATCACTCCTGAAATACTCCCAATTCAAATCTGTGTGCAAAACGAGTTTAGCTTTTTAACCACATTAACACACTCCTCTGAATTTATTGATGGTTTACTGTTATTGACAGTTGCTGGAGTTGTGAAATAGTGGAAGTTTGAGCATCACTTTCCTTACTAAAAGTCAACTTTAAACCCAGCCTATTCCCAGGATGAGGACTGTGCATTGACCCATCCTCAAAGCACCGCTGGACAGAGCAATTACCCGACTCCAGAGCCAGACAGCCAGGTGGAGGCCTGACCTCTGGCTGCCTCGGGCATCATGTGGTTCTGGCTGTGGACCCAGAAATCCATTAGGCTCTTCTTCTGTCTGCTCGTGTCTGAAGAGCTGAACCCTATCAGTGGGCACTATAAGGCTACGTGTTTATACCCTTCAGTCTCGCATCAGAAAATAATCACGGTTGGTTGAGTCAAATAACACCAGTCACTGATGGAGCCCAGGCAGGTTGAGCTTCATTCATATGGTACATTTCATACATATGGACGCTTAATGTGCCTTCCTTCATGCAGTCCAGAAAAGAAAACACTCAGAAAGGCATCAGCACTCAAGCGTGTGTGCAGAAACAACACTAAAATGCCAGAATATAGCGGAACGAGGTCTGGTAGATGGGGAGTATATTTATTACTCTGTCTGTCATGCTAGAAGTTCATTCTTCTGTTTGGCAACACAAAGAGAAGGCCTTGGGCGAGGTAAACAGAGAGGGTATCCCCACAGGAGACCAGAAACAGTACCTCCATTCCTCCGTTTGATCTCCACTACATCCGGCACTCTCCAGGACCTCTTCTTGCCTTTCATGCAGAAAATGAGCACAAGCAGTCTTTATGTCCCAGCTGTTGAGGGGTTTTCATCCACATGTACACCTGTTTCCATTTACCATCTGCGTGTGGCTGCATTACACGTTTAGCTATTTGTGGACTTTTTTCGAAATCTTCTAAAAATGTGTTGCACCTTGTGTGGATTTACCAGCATACGTGGGACAAAACAAGACATTATCCGAATTAGAAGATGAGGGGCCTGGAGAAATTCTGCCTGTCTGCTCCCACTGATTGTGGCGCATTCAACTCCAGGTGAACTCTGGTTTTACGCTGCCTGTCACGCTGTCAGGGATGTTAATGCAAAGCATGCACGCTCACACACACACACACACCAGCACACACAGACTGCAACACAACCAGGCGGCCACTGCATTAAAATGGCTAAACATAAGAGCATCTTACAAGCAAATGATGATTATATGTGATAAAATATGACACAAATGAAGGTTGTTTTTTTTACAGTATGCAATGGCACAGAGCAGTCAGGTGGTGGCGATATTGCATTTCCCTTTCGCACTTTTTTTTCTTTCCTTTTCACAGTTTTGAAAGCAGCACTTTACCTTTGCTGTGGGAGATTGGTCCAAAAGTGTAAGGAGTATCAAAGGAAGAATTGGCAGAAGTAGATGCGATGCACCCCCTACAATTAATCCAAATTCTCAGCAAGCACCTACAGCTCAGCCAGAAATAGGTCACAATAATCTTGACAAATGCTGAAATAGTAACATGAAGGGGGGAAAGAAAATCTACATAAATCTTCAACATACTTGTATCCCCTTATTTTCAGGGTGGCCTCAATCTGTGAAATTGAATCCTTCAGCTGTGAAAATTGTGTTATGTGCAGTAAAGAAATCCTAGAGAGGAAAAAAAAACTGACATCAGGAGTTAATATCTCTGTAAGTTTGCATCAGAAAGCCAACAAATCGAGCTGATGAATTCCAGTGAGCGGAATGCAGTGTATTTTTCTAGTTGAATCCATTTCCCCCGTTGGACAGTAGAAGGCCCGTAGCGTTGCTCTTTTGTAGATTTCTGGCTTTATAATAGCTTTAAATCACACAGTGCGTTGCGGCTCTGAATCACCACGGCGGCGGATCACAATGGATGGGAGAGGATGAGTGACGCCGCCCTGTCAGGAGGAACATCAGAAGAATTGGACGGCTGAACCGTACTGACAGCACCATTTGGTTTGAAATTGGTGGCAGCCCCGAGAAATAAACACACATGACGTGCAAACAAAAGGCTGCCCGCCGACCAAAATCTCACAGCCAACAGCTGTAAACGACTTCACCGCTTGCGTCTTATCTCACTGATGGACAAGCCACCAGATGCTTCAATTAATTGTGTGGCTCGCGCGAAAATACGCCGCGCGCGCTTAAATGAAATTAGGCTCGTGCGGGACTGTCTGGTCCATTCACGCCCAACCGGAACGCGCGCGACAGTCACTCAAAGCAGCCTGCGTCGAGTTGCTACTTTGCGTTTGCATTTCATCTCGTTTTTTTTAAAATTTTTATTAAAAACAATAACGGGGCAATCATTTATTCATGACACGGCAGTGATTCATAACTCTGGTTCGATTAAACATTCTCCCCTTGAATGTGAAATAGTGTGAAGCTCCACACAGGCCCACTCAGACTACCAAAAACTACATTGATGTGCTTAATTCAAATTTTCGGACAGTCGAGAGGCGGTTGTTATTGACTGAGTGAGTTTACAGGGAATAAGTCAGAGTTTGCCGGAGGCGAAAACTAAAGCTCTGGACAAACGACAGACTGTAGGTGTTTTTGAAATAGTTTGGAAGTGCCTTTCTTCCCCTCTTCCCGCTGCTCAGCGCCCTCCTCTCCCCTCCCCGTTTATTAGTCATGATGGCGGAACTGTGAGCTTCGGGACGAGCAGGAATGCACCGCCCGTCCTCGCTGAGCAAGTGTATATAGTTATTTATTTATTCCGCCAACTTATCCTCCCCCGCTATGACCCGTTGGATTCCCACTAAAAAAGAGAAGTATGGAGTGGGTAAGTGCTCATATTTATCGGCTTGTGTGTGTGTCGCTTGTGGAAAGCTTGCCGAGCGAAACTCCCAGAAACTCCACTAAGTTCAAAAGAAACGGGATTCGGTGAAGTTTGACAAACTGGGGGGGGCGAAAACATTCGCGACTCAGTTGTTGTTTTGAAACTTTTGCGGAACCGCTTGTTTTCACAGACGTTGTTGTTGTTATTTTAATGTCAGGAACTCCCACATTCGCCCTCTCTTCGTCGTCTCTGTTTGGCGACAGTTTAGTTTAAAAGTGAGAAATTAAACGGGCTACATTGTAGCTCCTGAGAGCTGCTGTGGAAAAACGGGCAAGTGCCAGGAACTCAACGGGCATACCAGTCATTCTTGTACTTAATCTCAAACTTGGAGGACTTGTTGAAGTTAAAGTAAGCTCTGACAAATCTCCATTTGCTTTACGGTCCTTTATAGCCCCTTCAAGGACTCCAGTGGAGGCTCCACTCAGCAGCAAGTGTGGGGACAGTGCGGTTTAGGAGATAGATTAGTCTGCAAAGGCAGGATCTGGGATCGTTTCTTGGTTTCCCTACTTCAGTTTTACAAACTATGACCTTTTACATATCTCTGTGATCCTCGCAGGTTAATGATTTGGACTGCTGTATCAAGGTGTGGCCCAAGTCACCTGTGTGTGTGTGTGTGTTTATGGGTTTGGAGTGTGCTGTGTGTAAGTGCCCAGGTTATCAGGAAGCAATCCACACCCTCAAGGTAAACCTGTACAGCTGTTGTCTCCGTGAGAATGTCCTCACAAGGCTGACTGTAATAATAGCTTTATTGTCAGCAGCACAGGTTGTTGGTTGGTTGTCTCTTATCATCGTCCCGACTTATGACCCCGTAAATCTTTGCTCGACTCACATTTTCGTGGACTTCTCTCAGTCTTCCGCCAACAGGAGGCCCACATTAAAACTGCGTTTGGCGGTGATGAGAACAGTTGCTGTGTTGTTTCTCGATCCGAGTCCTGTCTGACCTCTAATCTAACTTTAAGGTCCCTCTAAGTCAAGTGTTTTTCATCTCTGTTGCTGATGTTATGACTGAAAACATCCTCAAACCCACAACTCTGCGGCGTAATCGCTCTCACCTTTTCGGTGATGCCTGACCTTGATTCTGCAGCTGATGCTGAGGATCTCCAACACGATGGCCTACAGATCTCAGTGTGGTGTTCGAAATTGCCCCTCTGCTTTTATTGTGTAAATTTCTCCTGCTGTTCTCCCCAGAAACGGGGCAGGAGTCACTGACAGCGTACTTAATCCTTAAAATGCCATCGGACCCTGTACAGGGGCTTAAATTTTTAATCCGATTAGTTAACCTTGGCTGGGCTGGAATACAGGCGGCTGCGTTTCGGGTTAAAAGAAGAGTTGTTAGATTTCTGATAGTATCAGTCATATCATGCTCGCTAACATGAAAATGTTTATTAAATGAGCTTTAATATATCACCCCCCCTTTGCGATGAACGTGTGATGGCATCTTAATAGGATGACTTGTCGATTCCACATCAGGAAAAGAAGCACTGGTGTTGGAACAAAACTGTTCAGTTCAACTAAAGTAAAGGATGTGCCGTGGCCTGGAGCAGCTCCTCATTTGAGCACGAGGCCAGATGTGACTGCATTACGTTCACCAGTGTAACACACCCCGTTACTATGCAAAGGTCTCTGAGGGAAATCCCACATCACACACTTCAGGGAAAGATGCTGCCGTTTTTGTCACTGAAGTTCCCTTAATTGTGCATTTTCAGGTGTGAGACTCACTTTGCTGTTTTGGGTCTTGTGAGTATACACATTAGTGCACCGAACAGTGCATCCTATTGGCTTTTCCCAAGTGTTCTCACTATGAATCAATTGAATTCTGATCAGAAGCAAGAGAGGTATTTATTTATTGTGTTTTGGGGGTCTTTAGTATAACAAAAAAGAATCCTTTTGTGTTAAAATTTCCTAAATTTTCCTGCAGGTGGGGGTGGGGGGGTGATCTGTGTGCTTCTCGTACCTTTTAGATGATTAGTGGATCCCAGTTTTCAGGTTCCTGCGTTTATTTTGGGAACCTATTCACTCCTGGTTAACACAAAAACTGACACCAAAAGAAATCACATTAGTTTTTGCTGAAATTTCCGCAGTGGATTCTTTATTCATTGGTCGGTAACAGTCTCTCAGCGTCTGAAATAATTTAGCAGAGGTATGCGTGTAGGTAAATTACGACTGATAAGACCAGTATATCCCCCATATGTCTGTTTGGTGGCTGATTTCAGAGCAGCTTTCAGCAGACTGCGTCTGTGGCGGTAAATGAGATGAAACAATTTCGGTAATGCAATGTCTTAGATGTACTTTCTGCTTAATATTGCATATTTTATTACATTTTAGAGCTCAGTCTATAGTAAACGTGGAGAGGGTTGGGCTTGTTTTTTAGTCCACTTTTAGCTGTATTGTTGTTCTATTTCCAGAGGTAAAGACAACTTTTGCTAAGGAGTTATATTTCTGTTTTTGTGTTGCACACATTGCAAGCTTCATGTCCTCGTTTTTTTGCTGTAAAGCATTAACACTGAAGGTAGGGTTTCAGGTGCTTTCTACTTTCTTTGTTTAGGTATTCGTTTTTCCTGTTAGGGGGAAAACGGATTTCTTTTGTTGTAATCGGGGAGTCAGGGATTTCAGACGATTAGGCTGAAAATGAGAAGATTCCCACCACCAGTGATTCCTCTCTCCTGGTTGACATCACTGAAATGCTGTCCATTTGACCCGCAGTATATGTAATCGTCAGGTGATAAATGTGGAAGTCTTTAAGTTCCGACGTGTTGCTGATGCCAGATTTGGTACAGAGCCCATTGTTGAATTGCTGGTTTTAAATTTCCTCCCTAATTGTTGTGGTTAAGTTTCCCTCTGAATGATGTCAGCAACAGGTTTTGCAAGGAGAGGTTAAAATGAGAAAATACATTATCTGACATTAGGCATCTGTTTTTATCCCCTTTAGAAAGCAACCTTTGTGAGTCTGAAGCTGTTAGTTAAGTGGCTTACGGCTCCAGCATAGGGTTTAGTTAAGAGCCCTGACCAAAGCCTTTTGATGCTGAAAATATGATGCATGCATCAACATATGCTGTTTAATGATTAAGTGTTTAATCTCATCAGAGTTTTATCTAGATTTCAAATGAGCAGTCAGAGAAATGATGTTGTATACAAGCTGAAAACACACTTTCCCCTTTCACCAGATGAATGAGTTATGGCGTGCTGACATAAAAGGGAATCGGTGATAGGAGTTTTGAAGTAATGATAAAAACTTAAAATTTACACTATGCAAATGTATGTGAAACTTGTTACATTTACTAGAGTTTTAGCACCAAATGAAACTGTAAAGGTTGCACAATGTCCTATGTTGCATTTTCTTTAGGGAACATCCATTTAAGGCATTGTTGCTGTGGAGATGGTTGCATTCTTTGTGGTCAGGTGTATTTAAGCACTAACATCATTTAATGAAATCAAAGAAATGTCAAGTAATGATCTTTGGAATTTTAGAATATTGAAATAAAAATAAAGATTCTTAAGGCAGATAAGATTGAGAGAGTTAGTCTTGGCTTTTAAAATCGATGTTTTATTTTTTTAAGCAACTTGGAGAAAAATCCTCTGCCTCTTCTTGTTTAGATAAGATATTTGTTATCTTCTCTTGATTCCAAAGATTGCAGCAAGGTTTTTAACCTTAATTAAAAGATGAGGCCTTGCACTGATCTAATTTAGTTTCTTTTTACACTGTTAGCTTTGAACTTCAGAGTTAATTTTCTGATTTATGGGTAGCCTGCAAGGGCTTGTATGCTGAAGCACAGTTTTAGGAGCTGTAGATCATTACGGGTTGTCTAGACATTTTGAGGGACTCGCAAAGCTTTTCTACTGACCCCCCTTTAACTTGCCTGAGGAAAATTGGCTCAAACATAACTAATAGTAAATGTATATCTCTCCGAATTTAACAGATAATATTAGCAATCTCTTCAAGTGCTGATATTGTCTGTTAAAATACATATCACTGAGTAATTGCTCAGTGAAGACAGTTGATTCTTAACTAATGGAAATACTGGCTGTTCAGACACTGCAGCTGCAGCTTGGCATATTCTTACTTATTCCATGTCTCACTCAGACTGAAGCCTCTTTCTAACTGAAGGTAGAATTATTTTAATACAGTTTTAGTTTTCAAGCATTTGTTGCTAGTTGATTCAATTGTGCATCATTTTTAGGGTCCATTATAACATGGAATAATTGTATTTTTGTTGTATTGTGTTAACTTTGATGGGTTGGCAGAAGCTGCTCAAACTGTTAAGTGTTGGCGTCCTGTGATTGTTGTCTGATGTCCTTATATGCTGGAGCGTGCAGGGAAAATCAGGTTGACTCTGGTATAACATTAATATGCATGTTTGCTTCAACGCTTTCTTGCAGTTTTATTTCTTTTTTTTCATTTACAGAGGTAACTGCAGGCTCATTGTTGGAAGTTTAAAAAGAAAGACTGTGCGTCTCAGTGTGTAGATGAGCCATGCTGCCAAAGCCCAGAGTGATGCCTTTAGCTTAGACAGTGTGGCATTACGACACGCTTAACTGGGCTCCTACTGCTGGCACGCTGCCATGTTGCTGGCTGGGCCTGGACACTGTGTCATGTTGGTGAATGGAGCATTGTCACTCATAGCATGACTAGGGCCAGATGTCATTTCTTCAGTGTAATTCCCTAGTGATTCATAACATTGTCTGCATTTAAGAAAATAAGTCTCCACACCGTTGCCCTAAATTAAGAAAATGAGATATGATAGAAAACATACACACTTTTATCTAATTTCCAGTATTTGTGATTCTTTTGATGACTTAGAAAGGGATTTTACAATTACCCTCAATTGTGAGCACGCACATAAATTCTGCAGGCACGGCGGATAAATCTAATTAGGTCAACATAACATAACAAAATAGCCAGCAAGAGTTTAAGCTGCTGTTTAGTGCCTCATGAGCTGGTAACCCAAGCACAGTCTGGGAGGAAATCCTTCTCAGAGGAGGAGGCTATGGAGATGGAAGTGTAGTCGCATTCAGTGATTTGTCAAGTTTAGGTATTCATACTGAGGTGTGATGAGCTGAGCCAGTTGAAGCGTGCTGTGAAATCTGGCCTCAAGTAACGCACATTATCACCATGCAAGTCAGGGCAGATCTGTGCTCATAGTTTCTCTCTTACTGCAGGGATGAGCGGCCGCGCACTGTAGCAGCTTCTTCAAGTCGAGACAAAAACCTTTGCTCAGTTTTGTTTGCCCACCTTCTTTTGCAATGTCTCTTGGGTTTAGGGTGTGTGTTTGTTCTTGTGTATACACATGCAGTCTTCAGAGATTCCCCCACATGAGTGTCCAGGTTAGAGTTAAAAAGCAAAAGATAAGACACACTTCCTGGAAGTCTGGCGGGCCACAGTGAGAATGGGAAGGTCAGCGTTTGCAGGCTACTTGGCAGAAATGCGACCTGCAGTGTTTGAAAACCAACCGTCCCACCTGTGGCAGAGGATCGTGTGGCATTAGACTCATAAGCTGACTTATAAGCTACCTGCTCCAGCACCGTCCCTTCAATAGAACATTAAACATAGCCTCAAGGCAACAGGTTGAATTAAGAATGCTCAAAATGCTTTTAAAGTCTGAGTCACAAAGGCGTGCTGCATAAACACACAGGCCGCTGTTAAAAAAGGCAGCAAGATGAGGAATGAATCGAAGCTCAAGTTCCTCCATGCTGCAAGATGAAGTCCTTCAATTAAAAGAAAAACCCCTCTAAAAGTAGAACTTTTCTCAAACAGACTCAGACATGCTCCTCTGTGCAAGAAGTGATTGGAAGGGGATTTGGGGCTTTTCTTAATCCAGTGGTCCTTGTGAAAGAAACAAGTTGTCGATCACAGTCTAGGCCGCAACAATTTCTTGCTAACAGTGTTTTATAAAAGTTTGCGTTTAAATGAGGCCCCACTGTCTTATCTTTCAGCAATCTACAACTATGATCCCTCTGGCCAGCAGGAGCTGTGTCTACAGGTGGGGGACACGGTACACATACTTGAGAAATTTGAAGGTATGTATGAACACACGACAGGCCCTGACACATCCCTCTCTGCTTCATGAAAGCACACCAACGCAGGAGCTCAAATAAGATGCTGAACTCTCTGGCTCTCAGTGTGCTATGGTTAATAATGTAAATGAGTCAACCAGATCGTCATCACTTTTATCTTTTTCTGTCTGCCCTCACCCTCTGTTAAACCTCTGTCTCTTTTGTTTCATATTTTCAGGCTGGTATAGGGGCTACACTCTACGAAAGAAATCACAGAGGGTTTGGATATTATTAAACATACGATGCTATAACTAATGCTCTGATGTTCATACTTAGATACTATCCAATTGTTTCTTCAGGGCATTTTCCCAGCTTGCTTCATCCACTTGAAGGAGGCTACAGTAGAAGGAACAGGGTGAGATTACATATCAGTACCATTTAGTTTTTAGATGATAATCTACTTTGTTTTTTTTGCTCTGCTGTCCCGCCTTATTGTATGCTAATAATATAACAGTATACTCATAATTAGCATAAGTAAGGATTCAGTAATGTTATTTTTGGCTGCTTAGGGCAAACATCCTACTATTTATCATGCATAGGAAAGTACTTGAGAGTTTCTAAATGAAATGACATAATCGGTGAGCAATGTGCTACTAATATCTGAACAATCTCTTTGTTTGGCTGATAGCCAGCAGGAAATCATTATTCCAGCAGACGTACCTCTGGTTCAGGAGCTCAGTGCCACCCTGAGGGAATGGGCGCAGATATGGCAAAATCTCTATGTGGTATGTGTCAGTGACTCTGTGTTGACCACTCAGTTTGTAGTACAGGCAGTTCTGTAGAAACCCAACTGGCCGGATACATTTTTGTTAAATAGTTGCATTGCTTTTCATTCCCGTAAAGGGAGAATTATTTATACATGTTTATCTGACAGGCGAACAAGACAACCCTGTTCAGGAGTGTGCAGCAGATGGCTTACAGCCTCATCGAATATCGATCTCAGATAGTGTCGGGGACGCTGCCCAAGGATGACCTTGTAGAGCTCAAAAAGAAAGTCACGGCAAAGATTGATTATGGAAACCGGTATGAGGCCTCATGTTGGGCTGCTCTGAAATACCCTCTCATTTAAACAGCATTGTAAAGTTTTATGTGCTTGAATCTCATCCTGAAAATTGTCCTTGCTAAACTAATATGATGCTGTCTCGTCCCATGTGATGCCAAGGATTCTGGGGTTGGACCTAGTAGTGCGAGATGAAGCAGGAAACATGCTGGACCCTGTACAGACCAGTACGGTCAGTCTGTTCCGGGCACATGAGACGGCCTCCCGCAGTGTGGATGACAGGATACAAGAAGAGAAGGCACAGCCTGCATTGTTTACTTTCTTACTCGCTGTATGATGTTGCAATTCCCAATTTCTGTTAATCTTGGCATCAATGCACTGCTTTTTTTTTGTGCAGACAAAACAGCAAAACATGGAATTCAGGCGTCAGAGTCTGTTCAGCACAGTTCATACCTACAGTCTCCTCATGAACCTAAAAAACTTTGTCTGTAATATCGGAGAAGATGCCGAGCTGCTCATGTCCCTGTATGACCCCGACCAGTCCGAATTCATCAGGTTAGCAAGCTCAACATATTTACATGAACTTGACACAGAGTAATTTTCTGCTACGGCAAATTATTGTAATGTACCTTTGCATAAGAATGATGTTCCAGCTTCAGGGCTGTTTTCATTGAATATTAAACTGAACTGGCTGCCTACTCTGATTGGAGAAAATTATTGCAATTAAAGAGCCATTTTTAATTCTAACAAACGACCTTATTAAAAGTTAACATTGTAATATGAAATGCAAGAGCATGAACAAAGCACCGGTGCAGGAGCGTTTCAGGTGGAACTAACACAATTAACATTGAGGCCATTTACTTTAAAGTGTAAATTGCAGATAAGTCTATGTGGGTCTGCAGACTTTTAGATTTTTTTTTTTGAGCCACTGAGAAAATATGAGGCAGAATTGTTTCTCTGCTTGTCTCTCTCCCGATGTGAGTGACAATGTGGTATCTAACCGTGATTCCTATTTGAATTCCTGCAGTGAGAACTTCCTGGTGCGCTGGGACAGTATGGGAATGCCCAAAGAAATCGAAAAACTCAACAACCTGCCAGCTTTATTCACGGTAACTGAATCCCAGCTTGCTGATTGTATTCCCTCGGTTTCCCCTCGGTCTAAAAGGTCCAAATGCCGCTTGAAATCTATGAGGAATAAAACAATTTCCTCCTGGATAGCTACAATTTGCCTACAGTTTCACTCAATTGCTCACACTCAAAGTATAACAGTCATATTTTAAATGCATTTTTCTCCAGTTTACTTCTACTGTTTGCTTTATGGCCATCAATTTCCTGTATCCCACAATGTAAGTTTGCAGGTGTGTTATCAGAAAGTAGTGGTTTAGAGTGTAATAAAATTAATCAAGTCAGAGTGCTTTCATTATATAGTTTCTATTTTTTACCTCAGAGGACATAATTGTCAGTACTCCTTGACACAAAGATATTTCAGAAAATTAAACATGTAATTGTAGATAGTTCTATTTGTCTGTCATTCATGAACGATTTGTCATAAGATTGACAGCTGTAGCCATGGGAATGTGCATAATTACCCCAAATAAAAAAAGCACCTTTTATATATACTGCACCACCTGTGCTACAATGGACCATCTTTGTATGTCTTTTGTTACCCAGGACCTGAGCAGCAGTGACTTGATGAGGCAGCGAGTCTTCCTGGTGTGTCAGATCATCAGAGTGGGCAGCATGGAGCTCAAAGAGGGCAAGAAGCAAACCAGCGGCTTGAGGAGGCCGTTCGGAGTAGCTGGTGAGGGGCTTTTCAGATGTCCCAACATTTATTCCGTTAAAAAGTCACTTCACTGATAAATGCACAGATTGCACCTCTGCTAAAGTGGAGTATGAAAAAGAACAACAAACTACATTGTTATTGTAGATATTTTCAAGATGGAGATCAAGAAGCCTCAATGTTTATTTCTTTCTGTCTTGGTGCTGATTCAATTTTGGGCAACGTATGAGTAAAATCATTCCCTTCATCATGAAGCACTGTTTTCCCTTTTGTTGATTAAGAAGAAACATTTCGTTGTTATTTTGTCTAAAGCTAAAAAAAACTGTAATATCTCCTTTGGTTGTGTGTCACTGCAGTGATGGACATAACAGACATCGCCCATGGCAAAGCAGATGACGAGGACAAACAGCATTTCATCCCCTTTCAGCAGTAAGTCTTTTCACTTGTTTTTGTGTTGCCACTTTTGAGCTGTTCCCTGGCTTCATTTTCTTCTGTAACAACACACACAATAAGACAAATGCATTAGAGTGGGAATTGGGCTAGCGATATGCTCACTCATTACTGTGTTCCTCCATTCCTTTTGCAGTGGTTCAATATAACTTGATGCTGCATTTCAAGGTCAAAAAAGTAATTTGCTCTCCTGAGTGTTAGCTTTTGTCAAAGGCAGTTTTCTACTCTATGCTTTCATGGCACCTGCACAGCGGGGTGTTCACAAGGTGTTCACGGAGCTCCTAACTCAGTTGTGACATCTACACCAAATTTGTTGAACCTGTTATTTTTTTCCACCGGTACTCTGATGGGTATCCTCTTGAGGAGTGCCTTTTTATACAATAGAATATTTATTAGGATGTTGAAAGTGTTTGGATGATTATTTTTAATGTTAAAATCATGCATGAATATTCTTATCCTGTAATCAAGGGAAGGGCCTTAAGAGGAAATGTGCAAGTCAGTATTCAATATTTGCAGGTATTTTTTGTTAGCATTACACAAAGAACGCATTTAAACCACAGACGTTAAAATTTTCAGCCTTGACAAAATTATTTCTATTCCATTAAGACTGACTGATTTATTTGTCTCTCCTACTGATGAAGTGAATAATTATGAATTAAAAAGAAGGTCATGCTAAATTGATTTTCAACCATGCAATTCATTTGAGCAACAGTACATTTTATTAACTTTAATCCGGTGTTTAAGAGCACATTCTGACATGCATGACTATGCGTGACTATTGATTTTAGGATGCTATAAGTGGTCTTTGACGGACTTTTTCATCTGTTGCCAGATTGATAGATTGATATCAATATGTGAAAACATGCCAAAGAGTTTCCTAGAGAAGCTGTGGAATCAGAGATGATCATGAAGACCAGTTGATAAGCTACTTTGGCAGTGTCCAGAACTATTTTTAAGTAAAGCTTTATGAAATTCCATTTTCAAATTCTCTGAAAGGGAGTGGGAACATCTCAACTGTATATTTGAAAAAAATAAACAAGTAATCTGGTATCTTATAAAGCTTACAAGTGGAAAGATTTAACATTTTTCTATTGTATTCACTTGAGGTTAAGCAATGTGTTTGGGGGGATAATCATGCACCTTGTCACTAAATCCAGAGAGCTTTATGTTGCCTCTGCTGCTCCTCCTTCTATTTATTTGTCACCTGTCAGAGATGCTGGCAGCTGATTTTTCTTCTTCTTATCACAATATCTCCACCCCAGGATAGCTATGGAAACCTACATCCGCCAGAGGCAACTCATCATGTCTCCGCTCATCCCCTCTCGGGTCATAGGAGAGAATGAGCCACTCACAGCTGTCTTCAACAAAGTCATTGCCACGCGGGAGGTCAATCACAAAGGCCAGGGTAAAATGAAGTGCTCGCAGACAGTGTGTTCCCCTGTGATTTCAGAGGGGAGCTGTAAATTAACCTTTTTGTTTGGAGGAAAATAAATGGTGTGCGAGGGATGTGCAAGATGTATCCTTTTAATGTCTGCCTCATTGAATTTATTCACATGTCTGCCGGCAGGGCTGTTTGTGACCCTGAAACTCCTCCCGGGGGATCTCGCCCAAGTCAGGAAGGACTACCCCCACTTTGTAGACCGCAGCACGGCTATCGTTAGGAAAATGGGCTTCCCAGAAATCATCCTCCCAGGTGGATTAAAGACTTTGTTGCCGGGCATTGTCCCGCACTCAGCGTGGTCATGTTCAGTTTAATTGTGCAAAGAGCCGTGAGGCGCATTCATAAATTGTCAGCACAACCACCTGATAATTTTTGCTCTTTCCACAGGAAATGTGAGAAATGATATTTATGTAACATTGCTTCAGGGAGAGTTTGACCGTGGTAAGAAGAAGACCCCCAAAAATGTTGAGGTTATTCTGAGTGTGCACGACGATGAAGGCAATCCGATGGAGGTAAAATAGCCCAGAAAAAGAGAAACAAGATTTATTTTTTCTGTAATTTCATTGTAATTTTCATTGCTTAATTAGGTAGGATCGTGTTATATTAGCTCCGGGAATCCATGTCTCCTGATGCATGGGTCTAATGGAGGCAACGTCAGGCATTCGCAGTTTATGGTGCCCCATCAAAAACCTGAAAATGTCATTTATTTTCCATTTATGACCTAGATGCAAAATTAATAGCACTTACGTCAACCATTACTTTAAATATTCTTAGAGGCTTTTGTAGTCCTCAGAGAGTTTTTTGTGATCACGTGTGAAACCTAGATTGAAATTGTGGTAAATTTACAGGTAAAACATTAACCTTTACCAACTACTGCAGTTTCATAATCCTGTTATCACTGTCTCTGTTTTACCGACACGTAAAGCTATTTGCTGGTCTTTCGTTGTTTTATTTTTTTTATGATTGCTGTTTTTGTCACAGAGTTAAAGAGGAAACTGAGAGTGTTCCTGTCATGTAAACTGATGTCTTTCCTTTGGATATCTGCAGAGAGCTATATTTCCCGGGGCTGGTTATGATGGTATAACGGAGTACAAGTCTGTCATCTATTACCAGGTGAAGCAGCCTTGTTGGAATGAAACAGTAAAGGTAAGCTCATGTCAAGAAGCTGTAGTGGACTTGTGCCAAATTCTTAGAAAAAATGGAAAAATGCTGCTCTCCCACCAGATTATCTTCTATCTGTAATTGTGCATTCAAAATTCTCCTGACCTTTGTTTTTTTAAATAAAAAAAAAATATATATATTTATTTTTTCAACCTTTGCTGCAAGGTGACGATTCCCATTGAAGACGTGTGTCGCTGCCACCTGAGGGTGATGTTTCGACACAGATCCTCTCAAGACTGTGAGTTACTTTAATGTCTATTACAGATTCCGTCATGATTTTGAAATACTGATTCAGTTGTTATTTCCCTGTGTATCCCTCAGCCAGGGACAAATCGGAGAAACCCTTTGGCATGGCCTTTGTGAAGCTCATGAGAGTGGATGGGACCACACTGAAAGATGGCCGGCATGAGCTTATCGTCTATAAGGTAATATTGCAGGATAATGTCTCAATATTAGTATTTATGCCAAGTGTCATTCACCGAGCTTACAGATAAGCATCATTATTTAATTATGCAGGAATCTTCCATGAATAGCTGACAGTGGTTAGATGGATTATGCATAAATCTCTCCTCAATCAATAAATATGCAATTACGTCTCTGTCAGTCAATATGCTTCGAGGTTGATTCCTCATGTCATGAATTTTTCAGGTTGACATAAAAAAGGTGGAGGATGCAAAGGTTTATCTCACCTTGCCAGCTACCTGGGCAGAAGTAGAGGAAAAGGAGAAGCAAACGGGGAAACAGTTTCAGCATTCGGGGGCTATTCCTGTGACTAAAGACAGCTTCCAGATCGCCATGCTCACCTGCTCCACTAAACTTACACAGAATGGTATGCTGGGCTTCATTTCTGATTTTGTCATTCCTTCCTTCTTGCATCTTCTTATCTTCTTGGATAAACTGTCTGGGATGATTAAAAGATGTCCTGTCACGTCAACTCTAAAATTTCAGACCTAATAACGGTACCTGCAGTGGAGCAGCACCTGTGATTTTGCCTCCCCACAGATGGCTTTAAAATCAATTAGCTGATCTGTGTTTCTAATATTTTGCTGACGTGTTGATGTTTCCTGAAACGGGTCCAATTAAGTTTGTATTGAAATTTCAGGCTTTAAACACGTGTACGTTTTCCTGATGAGCTGTTGCTGCTGAAGCATCTTTTCTGAGGTGCTGCTGTTTCTCTTTTATTTATGCAGTGGATCTGCTCGGCCTGTTAAACTGGAGGTCGAACCCTGAGAATCTGGAGCAGATTTTGCAGAGTCTCATGGGGGTGGAAGGAGGAGAGATTGTCAAAGTATGTCCTTTTGTTTGTGTGTGTGTTTTGCTTTTAAAAACATTTTCTAAAAAAACATATTTTCTAAATAGTGTATGATATCGTATCTGTAATAGGTTTCTGTTTCCTCCACAGTTCCTCCAGGACACTCTTGATGCTCTGTTCAACATCATGATGGAGACTTCAGAGAAAGACACCTATGATACCTTGGTGTTCAATGCATTGGTTAGTCTCTAGTGTTGTTAGTTGCTCCTAGATTCTTTTTCATAAAACTGTCATTTTAAGCAGTGGTTTAAAATTTGGGGTCCCTTAAAGGAGGTGTAAACAATAAGGTCAACAATTTGAGTCTTGCGTGCTCAAATTGTTTCAAATAGTGTTGTTACAGACAAATATGTTGATTTTCATGTTAAGTTCTTCTGGGTTTTATTGAAGTGGAGAAATTAAAAGGAACAGCACAGCAACAGCTCTGCACACAGTTTGACTGATAGATTTTTTATTAAACTGTCTTGACTCATTCTCTCTCTGCAATGAGACAAAGTGCCAAAATCAAACATAAATTGCAAATATGCTATCCATTGCTAACTTTAGTGGTAAGTTGGGCAGAAGACAAATGGAGAGTTGCAATGATCTCCAGTGCAGATAGGTGCCTGGTGACACTATGCATTTGTCTTCCCACACACACACATTTTCTCTTCACCGATTTGCAGCTTTACCTGTAAATGAACGCACTTTTGACTCTAATTGTACTAATATTGACACTTGCCCACATTTTTCAAAGGCTGTGTGAATAAAGGATCTCAGTGCCTCTTGCTTTAGGGAAATAATATGTCAGCTGGTAAGATGAGCTTGCTCATCCTGACCTTCAAACTGATTTAGTGTCAATAGAATATTTTAGGAAACTGTTTGAAAAGCCTTTGAATTGTCAAAAGACCCTATTTTGCATTCAGATTGGCCCAGGTGCAGTTTCTGGTTATTCTCCCATTCGGTACTGTTCAAATGTTGGAGTCAGCCTTCAGCGCTCTGATAATTAAAGTGAAAGCCTGTGACAGGTTGTCACAGTCATCACACATGACATATCATCCCAGGCTCAAAGTAGCTGCTTAGTTTGTATTTATTTATTCATTTTTAAACAGAAAAGTGAAAGCCTTGCCAACAAATTTTAGCTTGAAAGCACAGATTCTAAAAGTTTGGTTTCAATCTTGTGAAATGCAAAAAAATCCCAAACGGAAATGTCTGGTTTTTTTGTGCAAATGTCAGAGGAATGTGTAGCACTTTTTGTATTTGTGATGAGTACTTTTCGTGAAACCAGCTATTACTGATACAGGCAATGAAAAGCACAGGAACCACTCAAAAGATAATCGAACAGCTTTAGAACCCGCCTAACAAACAAAAAAAGAAACTTTTAGCACTCTGAACTGGAGTCTTTTTCATACTATGACAGAAGTCCTGGAACATCAGTATTTTTGGCACATTTTGACATCAATGTCACGCTATGTTTTAAGGGGGAAATGTGAAAATGTATGCTGTCAGCTCCATATTTCACATCTTTCTTGTAATGGCTGGCTTTCGGCTGAAACTCCACATATGACAATTCAAAGAAACCATGAAAATGTTTGAATCTTAATGCTGCAAAAAAAAAATCTTCTGCAAAAAACAAACCAACGACATGAAGCAACAGTAGGGTGAAGTTCATGTCTACATTGGAGAACCTTTATTCAGCGGTTCACAGACAGCTTAGCTTTATTAAAAAATAATTCCTACTCCACTTAACATGAAACCATTTTAATTAGCTAAAATCTCCTTTCTTGATTTTTTTTCTTGTCATTCTGTCAACAGGTATTTATAATCACCCTTATTGGTGACATCAAATTCCAGCATTTTAACCCAGTCCTGGAAACCTACATCAACAAGCACTTCAGTGCCACATTGGCTTACATGTGAGTACCCTCTTTAGATTTCCCGCCTTTGATGCCTTATACTTATTAGTCTTAGTACTTTTTGACTCATAGTTCTTCCTCCTTGCTCATATCCAAATGACCAAGAAAAACCGTAATGCCAGACTCATTCACTTTCCCAGGAAGCTCACCAAGGTGCTTAACTTCTATGTGGCCAATGCGGAGGATCGCAACCTAACAGAGAGGCTCTACTCGGCGCTCAAAGCACTAAAGTACCTTTTCAGGTTCATTGTGCAGTCCCGGATCCTTCATCTCAGGTATCAGGAGTCATGCCGCATAGGAACTCACTTTGCATTTGAATAATTTAAAGAAGACTTCTTGTAATGCAGGTCCTGGCTTTGTCTCTCAGATTCAATGGAAACGGGGAAGATGGAGATGCTTTCTTAAACTCCATGCGCACGCTTTTTCTCGCTTTCAACAGTCTAATGGACAGACCAATCGATGAAGGAGTGAAGATAAAGGTAAGAAGTGTGACGGATGTTTTGCTGTTTAACTTGCTTTTTTTAGTTGAGCTCACTACTTTGTAGACATTTTTTTCATAACACATAAATGTCCTCAGTTTATCGTTTTCAAGCTTCTAAGTTAAACCGATACTGTTGGTCACACTCGGAGAAGATTTTGCTTTGATTTTTTTTCTATTCTTCTTGGTTTTTACGGGTGCGTCAACATGCAGCAATCCAGCAGTGAAAATGTGTTACACCATGATATACGAGTTATTGAAAAGTCATACAAATTGACTACAAAATAATGCGAGCTTCCCGTTGGCAGTCTCACTGAGGCGAGCAAAAGTAAAAGCTTGTTTTTCTAAAGAATGGAAAACATCCTCAAGCTTCACACTGATGAAAACTGATTCTTTGCTTTTCAGGGGGCAATATTGAAATACCTCCCCAGCATCATTAATGACATCCAGACTGTGTTTGATCCCGTGGAGCTCAGGTAACTCAGGGCTTTTGGAGAAAGGGAAATGATAATTGCCTGTCTCAGAGCATTTTGTCATGCTTGTGTCTGAGAAAAAGTGTTATTCTCAATATTTGCTGCCGTAAAATCAACTTGTTGGAATAGCTTAGCTACACTGTAATTGCATTATGAGAAATTATTGTAGAATTGGAATTGTCACCACAATTTTTTTTCTCTCTCTTTTTAGCATTCTCCTTGCAAAGTTCATCGAGAGCATTCCAGAGTCGCAGCTTGTGCGTCAGAAGCTGGGCTGCATGTGTAAAATGGTGGAGAGTGACCTTTTCAGGCAACCAGGCAAGATTGCTTGAAACCTCAACACCACATATTAATGATAATAATTTCAAACGAGCTCGATGAGGGAACTAACTTCTGCGGCACATTTAAAGTTGCAATACAATTTGAACATGCCATCTTAATTGTCAGGAGGTGCTTTTTTTCTCTCTCTGTGTTGGAACAGACTGCAGAGACGTGCTTCTTCCACTCGTTACTGATCAGCTGAGTGGGCAGCTTGACGACCACTCCAGTAAACCAGACTATGAGGCCTGTGTCCAACTTCTCAGCACGGTGTTGGACAGCTTGGACCGCAAAGATGTGGTGAGGAGTCAAAATTCAACTTTTGTCATTTAGACACGTGAATAAATTCAGAGTTCAGCCTTTCCAAGGGAGGGAAGTCATTTGTTTAGTCACAGTGTCAAGCGGCCAAATAAGTGTAATCCGTGTAGTGGCCCCGAGAGCCAGGCTTAAGAGCGCACACATCCATCTGGGACAAAAGACTACAAGTGGTGCTGAGTGGATGGTGTAATGGGGATTGAGCTTCTCCTCAGATTTAGGTTTGAGGGGATCCCGGGGCAGTCGCTGAGGATGCTGATTCTGCCGGTCACAATCTTGAGTTGCAGGCAGATTTAATGGCAGGGATGATTGGAGTGGGTGGAATCCTTTAAATTCAAAGCAAATGTTCTGTGGCTCTTACTTTCATTGCTGGAAGCAAAGGAAACAATTTATCCCATTGCAGAAGACATCAGATGTGCATTCAGGTTCTCATTTCACATTCAATTACTTTTTCTATTGTTTTCTAAATAATTTACAGAAAGTTACAGAAAATATGTACATTTTCATCTTAACCTCTGTTACTTTACAGAGCTTGGAAATGGGTGAATGGATTGGTGATGCGTTTAGACATCCACGCAATCTGGGTTTTACTTGTCTTAGTGTAGGCTTTCAACTGGTCTCCAAAAGGGTTTTTTCTATTATATATTTTTTAAACCCGATACAGTGAAGGTGAAGGAAATTTCTTTTTGGAAGTTCAGCGCATTGAGAGATAGCACAAAGAAGTATTTTACTCTGGATTGGCCATAAGTGCTTTCAACACTAAAAGAGAAGACGTTCACATTCGGTCATATTCTGAAAGCTTCATGCAACATACTCAAAATGTTTTTGTTTTTTATGATCACCAATCTAAAAGATTTTTCATCTGCATAATATTTTGAGTGGACCAGTGCTTCCATTGTCTCTCTGCAGATTGTGTTGCCATGTTTGAGCAATTGCCTGTACCTGTTTTGTTCGCACAGGGTCAGACCCGGGGGCACGTGCAGCTGATAATGGAGCGGCTCCTCCGCAGGGTTAATCGAACTGTCATCAGCATGGACCGATCCTATCCTCTTATTGTAAGACACACTGTGATGCCATTAAACTTGCCCTCTGCTTTCATCTTGACATTAATAACACTGACATAAACAACAGCTCAATTTGCTGAGTATGTTCTTTAATGTGTCTTGCAAATGCAGTTTTTTTTTTTTTAAATAAAAAGATAATTTCCTGTGAAATCTCTTGACTAATAGCCGTCACTTTTTTGGCAGGGCCACTATCTTGCCTGCATGACGGCCATCCTGAAGCAAATGGATGACATGCATTACGCCCACTACATCAGCACCTTCAAAACGAGACAGGATATCATTGTAAGTGCCATGATTCCTCCTCCATTGGCAGCATCTTGTCCTGAAGCATCTCATCAATTACAGGCATTAAACTATCCTGGCCACTTACTGCTCCTCAACAGAATATTGATTACAGACATTTCGCACAGTTGATTGAACTGACATGATGAGGTTGTCCGTGGGGCTCCATTAAACTGTGAGGACGTCACATGTGACTGACATGTAACGGCAGGGCTGCCGATTGAACCTAATCTGGTTTTCTACCTTTCGAATGTTACTAACTGCATTTCTTAAAGGGAGCTGATGCAACTCCATTAAATTTTTTATTATTCAATCGACTTTAGGACTTCCTCATGGAGACATTCATCATGTTTAAGGACCTAATGGGAAATGTCTTCCCCGCGGACTGGATGGTCATGAACTTGGTGCAGATGCAAGTTTTCCTGAGGGCCATCAACCAATACTCCAATGTGCTCAACAAGTATTTCCTGGACCAAGCGCATTTTGAGCTACAGGTGTGTCTTGTCCTCCTCCGTCTCATTAGAGGCTCAATTTTTCATTCAACACAAAACCAAATCATGCATTATGAGAGATAATTAAAGCATCAATATTTGAAATCCCTGTTTCCCTCACAGCTGTGGAATAATTACTTTCATTTGACCGTTGCGTTCCTCACTCACAAGACGCTGCAGCTGGAGTCTTTCTCTCAAGAGAAACGAAATAAGATACTGAATAAGTAAGATGAATTTTTTTGAGTTCTTCAAAGACAATGTAAGATTTTAATGTAACCGTTCTTGATTTAAAATTACTTCAGGTATGGAGACATGAGAAGGACTCTTGGATTTAAGATCAGAGATATGTGGTACAACCTTGGTGAGTATTGTTCACCAGCTAATGCTGCTGTCATCATAGAGTTGCAGTCTATTCAGGTCGAGACACTATATATATTTTAATGTGGAGTTTCACGTTGTGCTGTTGTCTTGTTTGCCACATTATTAGATTTGTCCTGTTTGTTGAGAAGGGAAGATACAGCATATTGCCTTCTCAAATCATGCTGTGATATTTTTGCATAACGTTTCTTGTCCCTCAGGCCCCCACAAAATGAAGTTTATCCCAGCTATGGTCGGACCCATTCTGGAGGTCACACTGGTGCCTGAGCCAGAACTGAGAAAGGCTACCATCCCCATTTTCTTTGATATGATGCAGTGTGAGCATAACTTCAGCCCTGGACGCACTTTTGAAATGGTATGACCCTCTTACCCTCTTCCAGAATTTCAGTACATGGGTGGTTTCTTATTTGAGTTTGAGTAAAGCTGCTTCTGGCTAAATATGACACTTGTGATTTCATGATCAATGCCCCCCCTTCAAATCTTCTCATTTCCCTCTCTGTTATCTTTGCAGTTTGAGAATGAATTGATAAAGAAATTGGATGAAGAGGTAGAGGGAGGCCGAGGGGATGAGCAGTACAAAGGCTTGCTGGAGAAAACGTAAGGCAGAGAAGAGGATCAAAAAGAAATTGTTTATATCTCTCTAAAAGTTCTGTACAACGCCAAGTGAAATTATAACTAGCCGTCTAGCAGGGAATTCACATAGGACTGCTTTTGAAATCTCAGATTGCGTGTTGATAAATTCTCGTATGAACCCAAATGAAAAGACTGTCTCTTGGAAACATAAGCTGTATCTAATAAGTAGAAATGCCTCAGGCACACATTGATACGATGATATCAAGCAATTGCAAAAGCGTTTCAGTGGAAAGCCGCAGTTTAGCAATCTGATAAACTAGAAATAACCTCTTGTATGATGAGAGTAAAGAAGGAAAATACTCTGTTTTCATGTGCAGTTTGCTGGAGCACTGCAGACGACACAGATACCTGGCCCAGTCCGGAGAGGAGCTGGCTCTTCTGCTCAGCAGCCTCCTGGAGAATCTCTTGGCTTACCGCACCATCACACATGATGAAAGTCCTGAGCATCGCATGAGCTGCACTGTCAACGTGCTGGTATTCTATATCCCTGCAAAACTATTGGTGCATTTACATGATGATTGTTTTCAGCAAAGTGATACTAGGACTTTTTTTTTCTTTGCAGAATTTCTATAAAGAAAAGAAACGGGAAGACATTTACATTCGGTGAGTCAGAATGAAACACAGTTTGGATGTATATATTCTCCTTTTCTTTAAAAAAAAAAAAAAAAGATTTGCCATACTATTTCTTTTCACCAGGTACTTGTACAAGTTGCGAGATTTGCACCTGGACTGTGAGAACTACACGGAGGCCGCCTACACTCTACTGCTACATGCTGAATTGCTGGAGGTGTTATGCCTTTAAAGTCAGGGTAAAAAAAAAATGTAAAGGTCAGATATTTGTCAGAATGACTGTACTTCTGTTTGGTTATTATTTTACACAGTGGTCAGACAAACCTTGTGCACCTCATCTGATACCAAGAGAGGGAGAGCATGTGTTCACCCAGCAGGAGCTGAAGGAAAGGCTGTTTCAGGAGATCATATGTTATTTGGACAAGGGCAAGGTGATGTTAACTGCTTTGCATGGCAGCTACACAGAATGGCCTCACTGTGAGGTGGTATTTTGAAATGCTTCAGGATGTAACATAAATGCACACAGCAGCCACAGACGTTTGTGTTGTAAATGTTACAACGATGTCCACACTTCCCCTTAGATGTGGGAGAAGGCCATTGAACTGGGCAAACAGCTGGCAAAGATGCAGGAGGGCCACATGTTTGACTTCATGGAGCTGAGCCAGCTGCTGGTAAGACAACAAGTTCATAGAAATTTAGATACCATCTCTCCTAAAATATCTGAAAAGTTGTATAACTCATGCTGCTGATACTGTTGAGTTTGAATGTGTTAAGAATCAAATACGTAATTCTCTTTGTTAGTTTATAAGCTCAACTGTGCTCCCAGTATACCCTTAAAATTGCATAGTATTTTTTTTATTACTTCTGAAGATTTTCATATTTTTAACTTTGTAAGAACTAACTAACTTTTTAGCACATTGTGTATTTTACTTTTCTGCCATACCACCTTTGTCTCACCATTCATTTTTGTCCTCTCATGCAGAAAAAACAAGCTGAATTCTATGAAAACATAATGCATGCAATGAGGCCACAGCCAGAGTACTTTGCAGTTGGATATTATGGACTTGGATTCCCTTCTTTCCTCAGGGTAAAAAACTGATTACCCATTTCAATAAATGTAGACTTAGAGAAATCCTCATGTTGCTGTACTTACACAGCGAGCTGGCATTTTGAAACATTTCTTGGGGCGATATGCAATAATCACAATAAAGGTTATTGGATTTATGATGTCTCAAGAGAATGTCATACTGAGTATATTGGTGTCAAAGCATTAATGACAAATGGCTCTCTCATTAATTATGGAAATTAACTTTGATAGCAGTTCTATTTTTTTTTATTGTCTTTACTTCAATGTGCTAAACAATACAATTTATATACTTCAGAACAAGATGTTCATCTACAGAGGCAAAGAGTACGAGTGGCTTGAGGACTTCAGCTTAAAGCTCCTTTCGCAGTTTCCGGCAGCAGTTCGGATGACCAGCACAGCTCCCCCTGGAGAAGACATTTGCAACTCTCCTGGACAACGTATCCTTAAACGTCCACAGAAGATTTGCCTCAGCAGGGCCTAACGCAAACGTTTAGTACAAATCATTTTGAAGTGATTCCCCAGTTCCAACAGTTATTTCTTGAGTTTGAATTTGAGCTAGTAAACATGCTTAATATTTGCATGTTTCTGAAATTGGATCAGTTTGTCTTTATCTTCCCTCTTCATCATCGTTCTATCCCTAGCTGCACTTGACAGACATCCAGTGCTTTACGGTGAAGCCAGTTTTCACAGTGCCACACCAGTTCAAAGACAAGGGGGTTCCAGAGCAGATATTAAAGTGTGTAACAAAACACTTTACTCAGCAACAAAAGCAATTTTCTTTGGTCTTGATTATACAGGGTTTTTCTGGCTCTTTGATTGAGGACTAACTAATTTCTGTTCTCCCCTGATTTCTTTCAGCTATTATAGGACCAATGAAGTGGACCAGTTCCAGTACTCCAGGCCCTTCCGGAAAGGTGAAAAGGACCCAGACAACGAATTTGCAGTAAGAAATTTTGAATTTTGCCCCTAGACACAGCACTAATTTGTTTTCAAACGATAAAGAAAAGAAAAAAAAGAAAAAACTTCAGGTTATGTACATACATAGAGCGAAGAAGGAATAAAGACATGGACATTTCCCTCTTGAATATCGTATTGATACTCTGTCCAACAGACCATGTGGATTGAGAGAACAACTTATATTGCTGCCTACCGCTTCCCAGGCATTCTCAAGTGGTTTGAAGTCAAATCGGTCTCAGTGGTAAGGAGCTGATTAAGCACTCAAAATGTGCTGCCTTGTTTGTCTTTCAATCTGAAATCCCTCAGCGATACGTTACTCTTCATCTTCTTTCTGTCTGTTTTGCAGGAGGAAATCAGTCCTTTGGAAAACGCCATAGAAACAATGGAGATGGCAAATGAAAAACTGAGTAACCTTGTCCAGCAGCAAGCCTGTGATCGCTCGCTGTCTGTCAACCCTCTGTCCATGATGCTCAGCGGCATCGTTGACCCGGCTGTCATGGGTGGATTCTCCAACTATGAAAAGGTCCGACTTTGTAATTTGATGTGACAGTTTCACTGTAGCGTACACTTGTGGTGCCTCCAGTAAACAGACTTAGTAAGTTTTCATATGTCCCAACTGTGTCAATTCTGCATCTTGGGAAAACCTTAGGGGAAGGTCATTAAATTTCATACAAACATGAATTTGAAGGTCAGAGGTCAACATAATTGTAACCACAAGTTAGATATGAAACAATCTTAAAAGTCAAATTAAATAAGATAAGGATGTGGTGACATTTAGGATTCCAAAGGTCAGATTAAATGACATTGTGAACTGCAAGCTTGCCAGTTGGCACAGAGCTGCAAAACAGTAATTCTAGTTTAAATACTTTTTGACAGTAAACACAATTTCCAGTGGACTTCAAGTCTGAAATAATTCATGTCTGTGCAGCCTGTCCTGTTTATGGTGTGGGCTGACCCACTCAACTCCAAGTTTTCTAAAAAATACTTGCACTTCACCCGTGAAATTTGGCTAAAGGCACAGATCACTCTTTGGGGAAAATAATTATGAAACCAGTTATTTAAAACAGACGGTTATTAAGTTCATGCGTAAAAACAATTATTAATGACAGGATTTGTGGCTAGTCTCTCTTACCTGTTATGTCAGCTACAGAGTTATTTTCCCAGTTTGGACACTTTGTCATGCTCTGACAACCCGTTCAGTTTCTTGAAACTATGTTTCTCGTGATTGTGCTAAAAATATTGCCCAATTGTCATTCAGTTCTTACCTTCTGCAGGCATTCTTCAAAGACACCTACATCCAAGAGCACCCAGAAGACCTTGAACGTATCGAGGTCCTGAAGCATCTGATTGCCTTGCAGGTAATCCATCCACCATCTTTGATGCTCGCCCGAATGCCTTCATTTTTGCCCCACTTAAGTGCTTGACTCCCCGCACCCAGATTCCTGTTTTGGCAGATGGAATTCGCATCCATGGGGAGAAAGCGAGGGAGGAGCTGAAGCCCTTACACAATCGTCTAGTCACTTGCTTCCAAGACCTTCGGGAGAAAGTGGAAAAGCATTATGGCGTCATAACCTTGGTGCGTAGCCAGCTGCAAGCTTAATGTAATGTAAGCGGGTGCCAGCTTTCGCTATTGGCTCTCTTGCCTTCCTATCAAATGCTTCTCAATCGAAGCAAAGTGTACATTATATTAGTGCAGGAGCATAAATCTTCCTTTAGCCAGGCTATTGTGACCTGAGCTTTTGCCTGTCATTTAGCCCCTTCCCTGCCAAGATGTCCCAATGATGTTTTATTCTATTTGTGTGTCCTAGCCCTGCTCTCTGACAGAGAGGAAGAAGAGTCGTGTGGGATCCATGGTGATGCCTTACATCTTGTCTTCCACTCTGCGTCGCATGTCTACAGTCTCAACCCTCTCCAGCACCTCCTCTGGCCTCTCCAGTGGCTCTGCCTCCTCAGAGTCAGTCCCTCCAATTACCCCGGTTTTAAGTTCACTGCAGTGACTTTCCTTTTTAAAAAATGTGCTCTTTTTTTCACCCTGAAACAGATTATTGTGTAAATACCTCTGTGTTTTTTCATATTCTTCTGGTCATTCACCAACAGCTCCTCGTTGTCCCGTCCCAATGACCACAGGGCTTCCGTTCTGTCTCGCTGTGTTGAGGACAACAGGATTGCTCGAAAGAATAGAAAAGAGTGGAGCGTGAGCAAATCCCAAGTTCTACTGGAGAGACTCTCTGATGCGGAAGATGTAAGGCTTTTTGTGCATTGACTTTTTTTATGCTGTCACAACACAGAAATGATATCCCATTTCAAGTCTTAGGTTTTACTCCCCAAGGACATTATACAAAAACAGTCCTGGTTATTGCTGAGTCTTATAATTAGGTAAACACAACCTCAGATGAACAACATATGACTCATTACACCATGTCATTATTTATTGAACAAAATACTCTCCAACCTGGGCAAGGTTGTAAGGCAATTTCCAAACAATCTGGACTCCATCATTCTACAGTTAGACATTGGTTATTTGAGCTTGTTTTGCAGCCACAGAACCAGTACAGTACACAGCTCAGTGACATGCTCAGTTGAGATTAGCAATAGTTAAAACTCACTGCTCTTGTCATGTTTACGGAGGAGGGGAATCGAGTTAATAACTGAATTACATTTAATGCCACAGCACTGTGGACTTCGCGTGCTCAGTGAATGTTGGCGATGTTCTTTTCTTTTTATTCGCTCTGTTGGGGGTGAATATTGTATCTAGACCCAAGATTACTGCCCTGATGTTTTTTATAATTATTTGAGTGGTTATTTTCCCCGATCAAGCTGCACTTATTAAATCAGGATTTTAACCGAGCAACATTCTGCAAATGCTTTAGACCACCACAAGTTTGGCCTGATCACAGCCTTTTTTGTGAAATGTTTCACCAGCTGACAAAAGAGAAAAAATATATAAAGGTCAGCAATATAAAGGTTATTGGAAATCTAGCAATATTAACATACACCTTATTGTTTTTTAGAAAAGGAGGAATATTAATGTATGTGTGGAGCTCCAAAGCTCCTAGCCTGTACACATATAGGAGTGACTCTATCCCAACATCATGATCTGTTTCTTATTCTGCCTTTGAGATGCTTGAGTTTGTATGATTCTGGTCAGATAAACATATTTTCTACATTGTGTTGTTGCTGAACTAAGCCAATTATGTCATTTTTATTTGTTCATTCAAGTGTTTGGTGCACATCAGGTAATGTTGGACTTAAAGTGCTGTAGTATGAAGGAAATTCACTCCAGAAAAACAGGACCGTGATCCCAGTCATAGCTGCATATCTGCAACAGAATTTAAGACCTAAGAGCAGGATCAATGTATTTCAATGACATAGACAAATACAGAGCTCAACCTCACTGAAATGCTGTGACAGGACTTTAAATTAGCTGTGTAGAAAAGAAATGCCTCCAAGCTTCAACTAAATGAAGCAATGTTGTATAGAGGACTTTGCCAAAATTCCTCTACAATGATGAATGAGGCCAATATCAGAACAGTTACTGTAGCTAAAGATGCTTCTACGAGCTGCTGAATTATGCTGCATTCTTGCAATTTTTCTTTAATTCTTCGTTGATGAAAATATAATCTTTCACATGACGTTCTTGATCTGAAGCTGTGTTAGAAAACCAGGTAATATGAAAAAAACGTTGCTGTGATGGCCGATAAGTTTGTGGATTGCTTTTCTTTCAGACTTATTCAGAGAAGCATCAGAGACCCAAAAGTTTACAGTTAGGTGACAGACGGCTCACCTTGTCCCTGTTCCAGGGTGTTTCATCCCAGCTCAGCCTGTCTAACCCACTCAGCCCACTCCCTGCCTCTCCACACACACCACGCAGCTCCAGTAAGTAGCAGAAAACTCTTTTCATGACAGACATACCACAAACTGCCTTTTTATTTTTCCTTTAAATTCCACCCATCGCACAAAATTTTTTTGTTTTTGCAGACTATCTTTTTGTAAGCGCATTCTGGTTTATGGAGCTAATCAGGTCATGCTTATTCACAGACACTTGCGGTCTGAAAACCTCTTATTTACTCTTCTCTTTTGCTAGGTTACTCATCACTTCTCAGTGACAACGATGCCAATAATGTTGACACCCCAGGGACCCCCCCACCCATGCCTCCGAAGAAACACCCGCACGAGATTGACAACCCTGGATTCTCTTCAGAGGTACTATCTGCTCAGAGAAAAACAACCCGTGCATATTTAATGGCTGGTAAACGTTAAAATATTCAGTTTTTATTTCTATTGAAGTCCTACCACGAAGTCCCTTTCTCTTTCCCCACAGTTCACGCCGCCATTACCAGTGAAGATTGAGAGCAAGCCTCCCCCACCTCCTCCAAAGACGCGAAAGTCAATGTTCCCCTCATACGAGAATAGCCCCCAGTAAAGCTACACCTACACACAGACCTTGAAGTTCTACTAATTCTCTCATTTGACTGTGAGGAGAGCACAGTTTCATTTGTGACTTTGTGGAATTGCCACAGTTGGGTACAGAAAGCAGAAAATGTGGGGCGGATGCAAAATTCCATTTCAGGTTCCATGTAAAACTAAGCAGGCACTTGTTCTCTAATTTTTTAAGATGGAAGGAAGGATTTATGCGGTGTGGATCTCATAAGACGGTAGTATGTTGCAGAAGTCGATGTATGAGTTGTTTTTGATACATTTTTGGTACAGTCTTAGATTTTTTGCGCTTTTTAAGTTAATGAAAGATTTTCTTTTTGAAGAAAAGTCACAATGGGGTTACTTTTTTTCAGATTGCAGGGAAAATGAACAAACAATGTTGTAAAGTCTTTTTTTTAATGTGCACATGGAGTAACACTGGATGACTAATTTGCCCCCTGGCTGTTAAACAGCATTCAATGATCAGGAAAGAGCTGCATTAGAGAAATGTAAAACTCAATCAAGAGCAGGGAAAACAATGTTCAGAATGTAACTGATAGCTTGATATGTAGTTATTTTAATGTGTTTAGTAGTATTATGACCAAAGCTATCTCCTTTACCACATGGTTTCAGTAACACTGGACGGCATTATTGAATGTGGTGCGGATTCTGCATACATTTTCTTGTTTATGATCGATGGATGTGAATGGAGTTGATGGTGAAGTTCACCAGGACTATTCTTTTATTTCCTTCATGGAATTATGTCTATGTTTTGGGGGAAAGCATCTTTATTTACATGCTGTACTTGCCAACAAATCATTTAAACCCATCGAGCATGTTTGCGGTAAATATGTCGGTGGAGCCAACGCTTCGAACCTGGATGAAACTGCTGGTGTAGATTTTTATTAGTTAACAAATCCATTTACCTGCAAACAACAATTCACATGTTGCATCTCTGTGGGATAGTAAGTTGTTGTACAGTACAAGGGTTGGATGGGGTTGTCAGCCAAACACTCCATTCTGCTGAAAATGACAAAGTAACGATCCATCACATTACCTTTTGTTAAAGCATAGAAGTACAATGCCTAAATAGAACAGTCCAAAAGGGCCCTCTGTGTGTCCAGGTCATGATGGGTAAAGCTGATCAGTGCTGACCTTCTTCATGCTTTTAGGCTGCATGCGCAAACCTCGTAGAAGAGTTTCTTTTCAAGAAAATAAATGAGCATATTTTCTAGTATATTAAACTGGGTTTTTCCAGAGTCATTAATGCTGTACAGTGGTAGGTAAAACTATCTGGAACTTAGTTAGTCCTTTTTTTGTTTTAATCAATTTTGCATTGCAATCTGAATTATTGCTATGCATTTTCCTAAATATTTTAAAAGGTTTTCACACCCGTAGTGTACAGAGATGGTTTATTGCAAAGCTGAATAATTTTAGTACATTTGGTACAAAATGCCTTTTTGATCAAATAAAAACAATCAAATGGATGTGCCTTGACATTGATGAAACTATGCATGGATGTTTTTTGTTTTTGAATGTTTTTCTGAATTTCCAGTATTTTTAGTCGTTTTTCCTTCCATTTAAATTGTCTAACAAGGGATCAATGTTGCTGTACGGTGCACATTTCTTAACAAGCAATAGAGATATTTTTACAAACGACGCCTCAACTTTTTAATGAACAAACTGTTGTTGACTGAACCAAAATAAAAGCCTTTTTTCCCCCGTCTTTTGATGGCATGACATTGTCATGACATTTATTTAGATAAGCATCTTTTCTGTTTCTTACCTACAACCCTGTCAACAGAGCTGGGAACACAAAAATTCCTCCATCCTCCCTCGAATCACAACGCTCACACACTTATTAGAATGCTGATAGCGTGACAGGTTACCCATTCCAGCTCAAAACATCCAACAAGCTGGCGCTAAACTGATCTATGTATATCAAGTACAACTGGGATAGCTGTAAATAAATGACGGCCCTGTGGCTCACAGTGGCGCATGAGCCAATGGGTCATTATTTTCAGAGCCCGTCTGCAGGGAAGTGTTTATATGATGTTGCTGATGGTTACGCAGGGCTCCGGCTTTGCTAATCTGGATTGTTAATGGCCTGTTCCCTCCTGTCAGATACTGAGGTTTGATTTCATTCTGCCTTCAAGTCTCAGGAGCAATGAACATTTGTAGTGATGTTCAGTCATGCAGAGGGAGCAGCGCTGTAACTACCAACTAAAGTTGTGTGTTTTCTGAGTATCGCCATGGGAACAGTCTCCACAATCTAACATGTTTACGACTTCCTATTGAACTGATAGAGAATTAATCATAGCAGTATCAATTCTTTTCACAACAAATGTCCTTCTAGCCGTCTCTCAGTTGTCTGTAAGCCAGAGGAACCTTGAGCTTTTCTCCAGTCTGAGAAAGAGCAAACACAGACTCACACACACATACTGCCATTGCTTTGACACAAGCCTCAGCGGAAATCATTGTAAACCATGTGAAAATTGTTGCAAACACACTCATACTTCCCAGTGGTGGGAATTACTCTTAAGTGCATTTTACTTCACTAATTCACATCCAAGCAGGATCCCTGAATTCATGTTTCATTAGATTTTTACCGTTATGCTGCTTGATTTTTATGTTCCACTAGATCTCAGAGGAGGGAAAAATCACCTTTTACTTTAACCTGCATCGAAAACCCTAAATCTTAGATAAAGGTTTTGCAAGAAATTACAAAATGCATTATTACAGGTTATTTTTTGGTATGAGATTCTTGGTTGTGGTTACAGCAGTAATTTTTCCTTTCATGCTCAGTTGTCTTTCCATCTAAGCCTTTTTTCTTTTCGACCAGTTTGTCAGAAAAATCATTTAATGTCATGGTTATATTTCAGTCCTTAAAATCCACTTGATAAAGTCCAAATGTAGTGTTTTAAAATTCACATGATGGTTATTCCACTCTTATAGTAACATCTTACCTATTATTGTGTTGATAGTTGTTTTTTGTTTTGTTTTATTTATTTGTTGTTGTTTTTTACTCCATGTCAAGTTAACCTAAATTTGAAATTAAGTTTCCCTTCATCTATTTCAGGCATGTGTACACTATATCATATCTTTATGAATATCCAAATGAAATATCCAGTAACTGGATATTGCATCCAGTTACTGTTGAATTACCTTTGAAATGTATCCAATTTATAACTTTCTGCTAATTTATTGCTACCATCGTGTGGTTATTCGGTCAAAAATGGTTTGTGTTTGGCCTTTATGAGCTCTGTCCATTCTGTTTCTTTTTTTATGTATTTATTTTTGCATCAGATATAGGCACCAAAACACTAAAAAGCCCTAATTTTATTATATTTATTAGAACATGAAAACATATGACTCAAAACATATCAAATTTAATCTCTGCTGAATATCCCATTTGTTCCCTTTGAAATATCTTTGACTAAGATAGGGGACCTATAATTAGTCTTACTCTGAAACAAAAGGATGCAGCGCAGCAATGACTGTCTCTGAATCATAGACTCAAGCAATCTTTTTAAATCATCACAAACCTCAGGGGCCAATTCTGTCAACTTCTGAGGAATGTCTAACTGATCAGAAACGAGGTTTAGCCAATGCTGCGATATTAACATTGCTAACTTATGTCAATTGAAGGCTCAGTAGAGTCTTTCAGCTGAGTAAAAAAAAAAAAAAAAAATGCAGTTCTGTTTAATCTATAGCGTGTGTATATTTTTGCGCATTAAGTAAAGGCTCAGCTTGATACCGTATCTGTTCTGGTCGACCCCACGCTCATTTAGCCGTGACGCACAAAGCTGTTTCTCCACAGAGAATACATTTGTCTAAACGTCTCAGCTGCATGTGTGATGCGGGAGAACACAACAGTCCCACAACACTGGGTTTCAGGGGTCAGGTAACATGAAGTGTAACCGGAAATAGCTGATGAGCGGTGACAGGAGGACACTTGTCAGTCATAAAGCATCTATTTCCAATGCCCAATGAGATGGAATGTATTAATATGGGGTCCAAACCTTATCAGATGGGCAACTTTCAATTTACAACTTGTTTAAAGAAACGTCTTTTTTTTTCTACATCCGATTGCATTTGACGTTTGACCCGTTTGTCACAGATTTGAACACTTTTGAGCGCTGATTTCTGCCGCCTGGTTTCATCCACACTGTTAGAACTGTTAGCACAGATGCCCATTAAAGCTTTTTAAAAGGTAAGAGGACATCCAAAGATCTGATGTGAGGATATTCGACAGGGGCAAAAAGAAATGACATGAAACCGTTTAGTGTGTTTTGACTCTCTTTGTCAGAGTCTGTATCTGACAAGATTTTAGATGAACTATGAAAAGTTGACAAAAGCCTGTGGAGCAAGTGCATATCTGTCGCCATTAATAAAGGATTTGCATTCAACATTTCCACTACGAAAACATAAAAAGGCTTAATAATTTATCAAACCTGACCCTGGAAAAGAGTTCCCTTAAATTTTAAAGTCACTCTAACAGGTTCTAATGCCTTAAGATTTATACCCTCTTGAATCAAATGGAAAAAAAATTCAAGTGACATTTAAAAGAAATGGTAAAAACAGAATAGCTGCTGTAAACAAACTACTGTATATTTCCAGATTCCAGAAAAGAGGATTTACGGTGACTTGAATGACCCACTTCACTTTAGAAAAATATCAAATGTTAACATTTGCAACAAACCCCCAACTAAACAAACTCTTGTAAGAGAGGAGGAAAAAAATCAACACGCAGCATCATTCTGGAGGATGTTATTATCAGTGAGGATGGGTGAGGAACCAGTGCTGGAAGGCTCATGGCATTTATGATGGATTGTTTGACAACTGAGGGCTGTGTTAGTAAGACTGTTCAAGTGTAAGTGGCAATTCCTGCTTAATGTTCAAAGATCTCCTGGCGAAATCAATTCTTTCTATTTAAATGGACACACGTTTTGAAGGAAAACAAAGCACATTGATTCAATCTTTGCACCTATAATGGCTAAAACCCATTCCAGTAAACATCTACTACATCTTGAGAGGGCTGTATGTGTTACTTACTAATGAAACTGAAGCTCTAATAAGATATCAGTCAAAAGTCTCAAGGTCCTGTTCCTAAAGTACTTTTTTAAAGTTCCATTTTTCTTTGGGATTTCTCCAAATGGATACACTTTTTTGGCCCACGGAACTATTCAAAGTATGTAAATTCCTCTGAAACGTTTTCATTTCCTAAACCATAAAGTGTAAATATAGAAAAATAATACTTCTTTTAACACAGCCCTTCCAGCAGTTTGAGAGAGATGGCAGTGATGGAGGCCTGGGCCTCCGCACGACTTAATTCCCCCCGCATCAAAGTAAAAATATGCCCTTTCGTGCTTTGTCCACTTATCTGCTGGAGGGATCCCAAGCCTCTGTGTGTGTAGTGGGATTAGCTGCGTTATTGTAGCTCTGCTTTGAACCTCACTAGGTGGTGCCAGAGGGTGTGAGCTAATGTAGCATTGCAAAGAGGTCTGCTGCGTAGTTTTTTTTCTCTCTCCCCAAACCTTTATTTACTCAGTAAGTTTACTGGCCATGAGTGCACTTTTAAGAACCGCGCTTGCTTCACCACAACACACACACACTCACCACTACACAGACCGACACCTGCTAGCTGTCAGGCGCAGGCACACAAAGTCCCGATGACGAAACAGACCGGGGAGGGGGGGGGGGCCTTTCAATGTCAGGCTTCTGTTTTGTCACTCAGAAGGTGCATCCTTTAAGTTGCAGGCAGGCTGCCGGGCCCACCGCACACGGCGGAAAATACCTGGAACCTTTCAGAGGAAAAGGGGCTTCAAACCTCTGCCGTGAAATAAAAATTCAGCTTATGTGTAACGTCTTGTTTTATTGATTTGCTCTGCACTCTCAACACGGCCGCATGTATTTTTAACGCTTTATTTGGGTACAAACTTACATCGCGTCTACGCAATCATGCTCGGAGCTCCGTTTCTGTTTTGTAGGCCGTCCCATTATTTGTTCTGCTGAATATTGATACTCATCAGGAGCAGTTTGATAAGGTTGCGATTTGCATGGTGCGCCCGTCGAATATCTGCCGTGTGCGTCACTTGTACAACTCCACCTTTCCTGTTCTAACAAGTGCGCACAGCTAAAATATTTTACCGATACAGCAGAACATAAATTATTCCTGAAATTGCTAGCATATGCGATGAAAGACTAAGACCATTTCGATTTTTTAATACATTCAAACAATGACCAGTTGGGCCTTTCAGCTTTTATGCTGTGTGCTGGGCTCGGCCTTTTCAGCCTTTTTTTCGGGCAACTTCAGACAAGACAGACATGGAAATTCATCTAGAGACAGGTTAAAATCATGCTTTAAAGCTTTCCAAAGAGTCTTTTTGCCGTAGATGAGGATCATGGCGGTGACCGTGGTGTAGACCGATGTGAAGAAGAACGACAGCCCTATGCCACTGGTGTGGTGCACCACTATCTGGTAGTTGACGTACAGGTCGACCACGAGGAAGAGGAGGAAGATGGCCACTATGGAGAGCGCCATCTTGATCACTCTCATCTGCGAGCCGAGTTTGGGGGCGTGGGCGCCGTTGGTGCTGGCTTTCATGTTGCGGAGGTGGATGGCCAGGTGGACGGAGATGGAGATGCAGCACTTGAACATGACCAGTCCCGGCAGGACGTCGGACAGGAGCAAGTACACCACGTCGTAGGCCTTCCCGGAGCTGGTGTCGGGCATCAGCACGCCGCAGTCTTTGTCGGCGCTCGTGCCGTTGTTCCGGTGGAAGACGGCCAGCATGGGCATGCAGGTGGCCAGGCCACACAGGGGGATGAGGACCACCGCCAGGGTCACGTGCTTGAGGATGATGGCCTGGATGTGCGTGTAGCACTGATTGGGCGTGTTGACCAGCTTGGTGCTGTAGTAGAAGGTGAGAAAGCTGGTGTCCCACATGATGGTGAACTTGAAGCTGAAGATGAGCAGGAGCAGGACGGTGTAGATCATCTCCGTGATGCGGCACAGATAATCCACCTCATCCATGGTCATCCAGAGATAGCACACCAGCTGATGCACCACATCGGCCACGGACAGCGCGATGATGATCGTTTCACTGGGGCCTCTCTGCTTTTTCTCTTTCTTGTTCCAAAGACTCATCATAAAGATGTAGACATTAAAGAAGACAGTCGTGACGGCAAGCACACCTGTTAAGATCCAGATGCTCAGTTTACCCTCGACTATCATGATGATAATCTCCTGCCCAGCACATGGGCTGTGTAAAATTGTAAAAAGAGAAAAAAGAAATAGTATATCTCTGTGTCGCACTCAGCGGTTGTTTTTTTTTTGTCGGGGTTCTGAAGTGGCCTGTTTTCGCTGTTTTCAAAGAGATGACAAGATGAGGAAGAAAATCACGGACACACACGCCGAACCAAACGATTCTTCATTTGCGTCGCATAACAGAATCGGTCACAGTGTGTCAGCTGGGCCTGAGGAAAAGATTCAGACATTTAGCTTTCGAAAAACATAAAACAGAAACAAATGTGCTCGATTAAGGTCCTCGGTTGTGGAAAAAACACGTCCAAAAAAGAATTTAGGGGGGGCACATACAAAAAGAAGGCGAGGGGAGATTAAGGTGAGAAAGAGCTTCAATTTTGACCTCAAATGAAAATCCTTTAGGTCAGATGAGGCTCATTTTCATCCATTCCAATTCCACAAAAGGTGACTACTTACATTCTGTTTGCCTCCGGGTTGGGACGGCGTGCTGTCTGATTCGATTCTTCTTTGTTTTTAAGTATTAATCACCACCTGGAGTTCAATGAGCAACACAGATGGCGAGGCAAAGCCCTCGATTTAAAGCATTCCCTCGCACTTCATCGCGGGGTTTTATATGTAAGCTTCAGATTTGCATCGTGTCTGACCACAGGTAGTGGTGAGGCGGCGTTTGCATTTGCACAGATTAGGCAGATTGTGTGGTCATTATGACTTTACTGTACGCGTGCCAGTGCAGCAAGACTCCAGACCCCCCCCCCCCCCCACGCCGCATGCAAATAATTATTCCTGCAGCAATGCCACATATTTACACACCTCAGACCAGAGGCACGCATATTTACCTGTTAAGTAAAGCATGTCACCTCAAATATCACCTTCAGAAGACCAGCTTATGCAACAGCTTGTTCCTGTGGTTTGTGTGAAGTTTGGTGGGCAGACTTTCAACGAGATGTTTTCTTACATTTAGTTTCCTATACTTATTTACCGTGGGCGGGCCAGGTAAGCTCCGATGATCTTCCCATCAAATTGGCAGAATATGCGTGCCAAAAATAGGAAAACACGCATTCCAAACTCTCCTACCTGCCAGATTTTTTCAGTGTTGTCAGATTGCTGGGGTGATGCCACACAGTGGTGCTAACCCTAACCCTAACCCTAACCCTAACCATAACCCCTGTCCCGCTTTTTCTGAAATGTGTGTCCATCATCACGTTTGAAATGAGAAACGATTTCTAAATCTGAAGCCAGATTGTTTGGATGCAGGCTTCTAAATGAGCTCGTTTCACTGCCTGCCAACATCCGTGTTGACAGTTTACCTTAGAAGAGGCTTTTTGCAGAGTTGGAAAAAAAAAAATCACAGTTTTTGAAGAAAGACTCGTTTTATTTATTTATTTACTTGCACAATTTTGTGAAAAGCTCATTTTAGAACTAACATCCATTGGATTTAGATAAAAGGAACGACTCAGCGGGAGTCTTTTTCATTTTGAATAGTTTCTAAGCCTCTGATATAAGTTATGCTCCATAAGAAACTTCTTTTTTAAATGTGTTTCCAATGAGATTTACAGAGCGGCAATTGTGATAAATTCCATTGTATGTGTTTATTTGCCTTATGCGTGCCTGCCAAAGGGTGTGCACGGAAAAAAAAGGACCTGATGGATGTGCTCTCATAGAAACGCTATTCTGAGCAAACAGAAAGATGATGATGCTCCGGGGTTAATTTGTCTTCAAACGAAACAAAAAGGAAACAGGGTCACACGCTGCTGAGTGGCGGGCGGGTGGGAGGGCCGCTAGAGAAAGCGGTGGGGAGAGGATGACCCTTCAGCTTATCGGGGGGATTTCCCCCCCCCCCCCCCCCCACATTTCTGCTGACAGCCCCCAACCCGCTTTACTTTCAGCTGCTTTTATTAATTCAACACCCCCCTTTTTGAAGACGAGCTCGGGGTGGTTTTGTTGAGGGACGGGGCCACAGGCACAGTGCTGACTCGGCCTGCTCACTTTTTTACAGTCAGGGTAAAAATGAGCTCCTGCTTTGGAAAACACACTCCACAAAAAGAAACTGCCTAGAAAAAAAAAATCCAGAGGGCAGATGCGAAGAAAACAATCAGGGGGCACTACAGCATTCTTTTACCTCCAAACACTGGTGAGCCTTGGTGTTTGATTTACAGTAATCCACATATACCCCGCTTAATTCTTTGACAACGTTGATGCTTTAAGATCAGGGTTTAAAGCTTTAGGTTTAAGTCCTTTTAAGCTGTCTCCATCAATTTTCTTTTCCAATCAAACGGTTACTCCTTAGTCGGCCCCCCGACAACATCGAGCAATGAGAAAAAACTCGTGAGCGTGAAGTTTGAATCCGCTCAGATTTTTCCGGTAAAATGGTTTATTCTTTACACATCTTTGAAAAATAAAATGTAAACAATTAAATGACTTTGAAAAAAAAAAAAAAAACACCTTCATAAAAATAGCTGTTTTGCTATGCACATTTTACATTCAGTTTAAGCAAATACCATCAATAATGACCAGTTCTTTTTTGTCTACAACAGGTCCAGCGGGTCCTGAGGTGTCGGTCAGCCCTGTCCGCACCAGCCCCCACTTTGTTCACGCGTAAGTCCTGCACCCCAATCCACTTTGGCGAATGATATGTGTATTTATCTTCGTGAGTTCTTTTCACACTTTAAACAATATTTTTTCCTCCTTAAGGAGCTTGGCGCTGGCAGTTACACGGCGTATCCGTACTGGTGGTCATATGTGAGGGCAGCAGAGCTGTTCCCCGCTGGCCCATTACTGCCACCCGTAAAGATCTGGCCGGTTTCACTAACGCTCGGCAGGGGGCTGGCCACGGCGCTGTACTGCACCCCGTGGTGAGTGCGGTACCCCGCCACCGAGTGGAAACTGGAATGTCTGCTGGACGGCCGGCTCTCCGGGGCCTGGACATCCTCTCTGAAGAACCGAGGGAAAAAAAACGGGCCTTAATCACGCGACGCCGTGATCAGAGAGGTAACTTGAAAGTCTTCAGCCTGATACGGTACCTGATTTCATTGGCCACCTCCTTCTGGTAGCGTTTCTTGTGGCAGCAGCAGACCAGGAGCCAGATGAGGAGCAGGAGGAGGATGAGCAGCAGCAGAGCGCCGATCACAGCGCCCGCTATCACACCCGCCTTATTGGTCGCTGGAACACACAACACGCACACACACATCACACAGAGTCCACCGCCACCTCCCGTGACTCCATTCAAACTCTGTTCAGGCCGTTTGGCCTAAACGGCAAACACTGAATGTATCTGTCAATAGAATCTTTAATAGCCAGCGCGTGTCAGACTCACGGTTATATGCACTCAGTGAATATTTGCACTGGGCTTTGCCCACAGCGTTGCTTGCCTCACAGACATAAGTTCCAGTGTAGCTGTCTGTGTGGTTCTTGATCAAGAGCTCTCCGGTTTCTGAGTCTTATCGAAAAAGAAGAGAGCATTTTAGAAAACATTAGGAATCTGCGTGCGGGTCTATCGGTGTTGGTCATTCTTACCCTGGGTCGCGGTCGAGGGCATCGCACCCCCACTCTCTCTTTTCCAGACATAGGTAAGGGGAATGGATCCCCGATAGGATTTACAGTTCAGAGAGACAGATCCACCCTTCTGCTCACCACCTTCGACCCAACACTTTGGTACTGACGGGGGAACTAATGAAGCAAAATACAAAATAAATACATTCATGAACACACATCTGAATGATTCAGTCCTTCTGGAGGCTTACATGTGTCAAAGGTTAGCATGCAGTCTACCGAAACGAAATGAGAAGTCAAGAGCCGTCACATTCCTCATGAATGAGAGCGACACTTGGCCTGAGAAGGCCGAGTGAAAGAACCGGTAAAACTGGTCGAAAAGAAGGGACCTCACCCAGCACCCGCAGACTGACTTTTCTCATGTCCACACCCGGGGACTTTTTGACTTTACACTGGTACGTTCCCGAGTCTGAGTCTTTCAGATCTGAGATGGAGACTGAAGCGTCGCCCAGCTTCGGATCGCCTGTGAATTTGATCCTTTTGGCGAGACCCATGTCATAGTGGTGTGTCTGGCCACCTGTATACGATAAAATCTGAGACGCAACATTCACATTGAGTCAATCCGGCTCAGGTTTTGCCACAAAACTAGGAAATACTCAGTGCTTGTACAAGTAAGACAACTCACCAGTGTATCTTTCTGTGTCATGTCTGGGTTGACATTGGACCACTCAATGTCCAGGTCTCCTGTGTCCTGCGAGTCCTGTGTGTAAGTGCACCCCAGGGTCACCATCTCTCCTTGCGCTTTTTGAACGGTTACTGGCCCCGAGGATGTTATCGTCATTGCCTCTGTCTCATAAAAGTTGGCCAAGACGAATAGGAGAGTAAAAAAAAAAAAAAAAACTTGTTAGAAGAATTTAATTCACAAAACATATACTCCTCATATACTTCCTCACTCCAGTTTTTATGCCGGTTGAACACAGGGTACGTGTGCCCTGACAATAAAAGGACAAACTGGAGAAGACAGAGCAAAACTGCTATTGCGCTGAAATGCATTAGTATGCCTTCCAGCTAATGGCATTCAGGCTCTGGGCCTGGGCTCACACGCAGGGTTTTTGGGGTTGAGAGGGAGTGCTGATGTAAGACTAATTGGTCTCTTAAGTCAAACTGAAAATGTTTTAGGGCTTATATAATTCTTTACATACACACACATATATATATACACATATGTGAAGCTATACATTTCCTTCAAATGAGCTGCATCTTCATTTAATCCTGGAGGCCATATTTTCCCGTATTCACGGTGAGAAAAATATTGGTAAATGATGATGAAAAGTGAAAGGATGAGCACACATGCAAACTAAATAGACAAGTGGCACTTACATGCCATCTCTGAGCTGACACACACCCCGCTGACTCACTGTTTATGGCCAGGGAATTTGATTATTTTTGATGGGCTTGACGTTTGTGGAATTCAGTGCTGACTGTTTTGGAGTGGGAACGCATTGCAACAAATCCACGAGATTTATCTTGGTTGTGTTCAGCCCTTTAGAAAAACAAAGTCTTCCCTCCATTTTACACATTTAACCTCCACCTGAACATCTAAATGGAGCACAAATCCTCTCACAAACCTCGTCATTAAAACCTGTATGAAACTGAAAGCACTTCAATGCCACAACAACAAAGTATCTAAGAGGTATTTATAAATACAAGTAAATAGCAAATGGGGTGAAATGAGACTGGGAAAAAGCCTAAATTAGTCATTCACATTTTTACACTGTGAAAGCCCCCCTGGGCAAAATCCTGTTGTATGGGAGACGCGTTTTTGAAAGGCAAATAGGCTCAGTCACCAAGCTTGAAACAGTCAGGTGCAAATATTCAAATCTTCTTCTCTTTCTCTCTGCTTTGGAAAAAAAAGTTATCCACAGGGAGCTCGCACGAGAGCTGGAATGGTGGTTAAACAACATCAAGCAGATGAGACAGGGAATTGTTTTGAAAAAAAACCTTTAAAATTATATACGCGGCGTTCACTTGCTGCAATCATTTGATTTCATTTACCTCCGCGCTGGTGCGGTTTGTGTTTGAAAATAGGCAGCTTGGAAGGGAGCCCAGGACTAATTTTTCTCCTAGGGACAATAAAGTCTCTCAGGGTTATACGCTGTGAATGCTCACCCCGGTCTGATCCTTAGCAACGGCAAAAAGAGGCATGAATGCAATGCACGGTGCTTGTCAGACACCCACATTGTCTGTCTGTGTGCGGTTCACTGAATGTCAGGTATGCACCACGGTGAGATCATCATGAATCTTGGGTTATTCACAAACCGCCCCCTCTCCGAAAACACCTGTTCAGCGAGATAATTTCATCCTGTAGGCACCATCATCCGTTTACAGGGTTCAGGGAAAACCGAGGCGGAAAATATTTAAGGCAAAGAACGAAATAAGTGGAACATGACACACGCCAATTACAATATTTGCGGTTACAAACTGAACAAACTGGATGACGACACTCTGGGGGAAGTAGAAGGAGACTCACCTGTTTTCGGTTGAGATGTTATCAGTAACAGGAACAGCACAGCCAACCCCCAGCGCGTGTTTGTGCCTCCAGGTTCCATTTTACCCCTGAGAGCAAACCAGACTTTAAAAACAATATTCTGAGAGCGTTTCTTTATCAGACACAGCGTATTTCTCAGCGCTCATCCTTGAGAGAGCGACTCAGAACGGCACAATAACCTTGTTCATTGTGGCGAGGCCTAGAAAGGCTGTCAGTCACCACTACCAGGAAAAAAACCCACACCTGTTTAGCAGAACTGACAAAAGCAGAAAAATATAAGCAGAAGAGCCTGTTGGGATTTACCTTGAAGAGAGTGAATAGTCCAAAGATTTGAGTGTGCTCCTGAAGGCCTGGCAGCGGCTCTGTTGTTGGAGGCTTGATTGTTTTGCCTTCAGGTGAAACTCAGCTGTGGAGCAGCCACACCCTCCCCGTTCAGAGTCCAGCTTCTGGCCACTCCTCCCAATGACAGCACGTCAAACCTGCCTCACGCTGATTTGAAGGCCCCTCCGCGGACTGAGATGAATGATTATCTGTGTTTCTCAAATAGTTCAGCAAATATGTTGCTGCGCTGCTTTTTGTGTGAGATGTCCTGGGTTGATGTTGTGATGTTATGGAAACCCCTATAATTACGATGTATAGTTTTCATAGGTTTTTGTGTGTTGTAATGAGGGTTTAGGTAGCTGGGAAAGAAAAGTTTTTGTTTTTAAATGCAAAGTTTTCTTAAACTGATTTTGTCAATACACAGCACAGCTACACACAATGTTTATTTGTCTCCCAGGACGCACCCACAGCAACACAGAGGTGGTTGTTGTTGCTCAAGAGATACCATTCCAGGAAAATGAACCGAACGGAGAAGCGGCGGCTAAACGAGTTCAAAGCTCCAAATCTTCACTGTGATGAAAAATCAAACTGATGAAAAAATACGTGAAGGAAATCAGCTGGGATGTGAAATGATTCAGCATTGATTGCAGGAGAGTGTATGGTATGATGTGAGCAGAGCGTGACGCGAGCCATCAGGAAACTTAATGCAATCCCGCCAATAACGTTCATTAAGGAGATTAACAAATTGGAAGCGCTCCGTATGAAACACGCTCAGAAAGTTGATTTCATATCAGCGCCTGTCTGCTCCCCTCCCGTTGCAGGCTGCTCAGTGGCAGGTTTTAGGCCCGAGCTCCATGAGGCGCGCCCCACCGGCACCACACCCAAAAAATCTGTGCGGCAAGGTGTCGGAAATTATCCTCCAAATCTCCCTGTTTGTGTGAAGCTACAAGGTAAGGCTGCTTTACCAGCGGGGGGTTAATTGCCCCACTTCCTCCCCCCGACGTTTCTGGCACTAAAGTGCTGAGCCGAACAGACTGCGTGACAAGACAAGGTGGGATCAAGCCCGACATTTGTGGGCCACCCAACAAGATTAAGCGTTTACTTCGCAGGAGAGAGTAAGAGGAGCATGAAGTTAGCGTGCGCGACCAAAGACGGAAAAACATCAGGGCGCGTCATGTCTCAGCACGCTTTGTGTCATCGGATGGGGTTTGATCATCCCGTGAGCCTGGGCGGATGAAACAGCCAGACGCCCGCCATCTTTGCAGTCGAGACTGTTCCACTTTGCATCTTTTCGCCGATTTGGCAAAGGTAGTCTAATCACACCCCAGGGTAGCAAACAAAGCAGCTTGACAGATGTCCAAATTACATGTAAACAGCTTAGCAGGGGTGGCAAATAAATGACCAAATGCAGGGAGGAGGCTGGAGAAAAGCCGGGCTTGCCAGCAGCCATACTGAAATAGCCCCGCACATGACTCACAGTGCGTCAATGTCAGCGAGCCAGTTAGACACATATATGTGACTTTAAAGGTATAAAAGTCACTGCTACAAGGATGCAGCCTCTGGCCTAAAGAAATACAGTCATTCGGCCTCCGACAGAGCGAAATGAGTAGAGAACAAATCGTATACTCTGGGCTGTAGATTATGCTCTGGACCCCTTGAATGTTTAAATTTGAGAGTAATGAGCTTTTTTTCCCCTCTGATCTTTACAGAAATGAGTGTTTAAGTTCCATTTGCTGTTTCTACCACCCTCTGTAAACACAGACTCCACAGTCTTAGTTAAACCACAAGTATTTGTACATGACAGTCACATAGGTAGTTTGCTCATACGCCCGCAGGACTCTTGAAAATGTCCCAATTCCAAGTAACAGGACTTGTGTCTCATGTTTCTCATTCCTAAGATATGTTTAACATGAACGCATTTCAGTCCTCAATATTTTCTCTACTCATTCACCTTAAATTTGCTCCAGACGATGGTTGTGGAGATTTGAAAAAGCGAGGGATCAGGCCTTTCCATCAACAGTAATCTTTGTTGTTATAGCTAGACATCCCAGGGTAGATGCCATTTTGATTGTTAAAACATTAAAGCAGGGCGGCCAAGTTTTGGAAAATGACAAGAGTGAGACTTTAGTGTTATGATACATTCAGCGGGGTAAAGAATTGGCTTTTGACGATTTAATGAAACAAGAATTTTGACAAAAAACATTTGCCAATATTTTATTTCAAATAACACAATAACATCATTGAACTGGGGACATGTTTAATGTTGTGTTTGTTGGACATTTTGATGCCTTGATGACAGAGGCAGTGGCTCCCACTTAAAATTCTCCATCTTTACTGTCTTGCTGGATCAGGATCTAGTCTGTACTTGGCCTACAAAATAAAGTCTGAGAAATGTCAGCATGGAGCACACCTCTGAACAGGTGTGAAGGAAATCAATATATGTATAATCAATTTCCTCATTTCTGAAGGTTCCCTTCTTTCTCAAGGGAATCTTCCCTCCTTCAATGTCTCGGAGAAAGTCTTTTCACACTTTATCTCTTAATTTTTTGTCATGAGGACTGCTTGGTACAGGTGCAGTTTGGGAGACAGACTTTACCCTTCTTCCCATGCTCAGGGAGGTATAAAATGAACTGTGATTTGGATTTGCTTTAGAGCAGCTTGTATGAACCACCTGTATCATTGTGCTGGTTGCTCTCACTTCATGAAGTTTTCCCTTTTAATCCATTTCTATTTCTTACTTCGGCAGACGGACTCAGACTCTTGATTTAAAATAAAATTTCCATGGAACAGCAGCTGACAGATGTGCAGCTGACAGATGTGTAGCTGGCAGTGACAGTTTCCCCCGTCGCTACCCCCACCATCCCATCCCCCCTCATTCACATCCTGAGTGCCCTGGACATTTCTTTTATTCTGTAATTATTCTATTTAATTTCTAACTGGCGCATTTCAGTTTTTGGCCACGCAAACAAAAAGTCCCTATATTGTATATAGCATGCTGCCTTCCGTGGGTGGTTAGGTTTAGGCACAAAGGACCGATGGATTGGTCTGGGATTGGTTATCTCAGTCAGTCAATCAGAGTTAGTTGGACAACAGCAAACTGAGTATTGAAAGAGGAAATAAGCCTGAGATATGTCATGTGTGTCGTGCAATGTGGGAATGGGTCGAATTGTGTAACAGTCTGGCAGCCCTGTGACGGCAAAAATTAGACATCATTTCCAGTTTTTGCCTACATCCACTCAATATGTTATACTTGGGACTTTTTTCATTACTATTTTTATCCGCCTCCTATCTGCATGTTGTCAATGTGCTGTGTGAGCAGTCGGAATAGACACTAAAGTTTTTTTTTCATTCTCTGGTATTCTCTATTTTAATAAGTGATTTACAATAGCTATAATTATATTTTTCATTTGATATCTATAGCATTGAAAATGTTATTAAAAAGCAATTATAGTTCAAGCAAATGGGAAACGTTACTTCAGCCTGTGAGCATCAGCTCACTGTACCTGGAACAAAATCTGCAAAAAGAAAGTGTGGAGACTGACTATGTTATACAGATAGCGAGGACAGAAATGGAGAGTTTAGCCAGAAAAACACTTCCACAGCAATTCTCAGTCTGCATGTGCACAATTATGCTGCATTATGTTATCAGCAGGGAGCCCGTTGGAGCAGGAATGAGAGCCAAAACTTCTTCCTGTCGACGCAGACACAGCACTTCCAGTGGGCAGAAACAGAGAGCCACAGTTAAATCTAAGCAAAACAAGATGGCCTCCCCAGATGAAAGGATGATATACCATTAAAACACATAAGAAATGTTAAGTGCACGCATGCACACACTATATATACATATTTATGTATACATATTTGTGTGTGTATGTTTTTATAGATTTGGTTGGTCTATAGGAATTTATTAAGCATCCCTCACTGAGTTCACAAGCTGCCCACCCAAATGAATCCCCCAAACACACACATCCTCCAGCAATACAGGCATTGAAGGTGGACACCATAATCCAATAAGTTGTGCTTCTTCCGCTAAACCCAGTAAAGTCTGGTAAACAGAGGAGGCCCATGGATAGTGTGAACCTCTAAATCCCGCTTGTGGGAATGGGATGAGGCTATTGGGAAGTATTCTCCCCATTAATAGACCTCACATCCCTCTGACGTTTGTAGCCCTGTTGCTCACAGTCCCCCAGAGCCCACCGGGTAATTATAACTCAATTATGCAGTGCTTATTTGTTATATATTGTGGATATATCATTTAAGAGAGAAGAACAAAAACCTAACAATTGAATGACTGGTGATGAGAATGAGCTTGGGCGGCAGATGTCATGCTTCACTGTCTGTTGTTTCCTCAGTCAATAAAAAGCAAGCATTCATTTGGAAGGGAAATTATTTCTGCAGAACTGAAGCTCAGCATGAATGGATTCGCCTACACGCTTTCCTAACTTGAAAGTGACAGAAGAATTTATACAGTAATGGCAATTTCCATCAGCACTCTGAAAGTGAGGGAGGCAGAATTCAAATTCTATTGATGCCATTTGTCATTGTTTTGTGCAAATGAGCAAACCTGACTTTGTTTGGGTGTGGACTATTACAAAAGCCCCCTGCACTTAATAGCACAAGAAACTCTCACACCGCAATTACAGGAGCACTCATGCCTGCATTACACTATTTGGAAAGACACCCCATGTTCTCTTACCATTTGCAATTTAATACTCCTCACAGTGAAAGCTTTTCCTTTTTGGGTAATCTCTGCTTTAGGCTGGAACTAACTATAACCTTCAATCAAGCCCAAACTTCAAGAAGTACTCCAGGAATTTGAAAACGTTATTATTTATATTAAGAGTGATTGAAAACCATTTACCATTACCTTGCCTTGGATTCACACATGCACTCGTAACCATTACAGCCAACCATGTAAGTCTTGATCATTTGGAGTAATTTTAGGAGACTTGATTTGCCCAAAGAGCACTTTGACATGAGGACAAGAGAAGCTGCACACAAAAATGCTGCCAAAATTAGAGAAGCTGACAACCATGTCTGACTCAGAAATCCATATGAATTGCATTCGGAATGCTTTGAAATAGAGGAGGAACTTGTTGGTAACTTGATGGAAATTAAACCTCCACAT